CCGTCATCTGCAGGCCATTTGCAGGTGAGACACCTAGAGGGCCCGGCCGGCCGTCCCGGGTAGTGGTTAGGATGGACCACAGGACGAGCGTCCGTCCAGAACAGAGTTCCAGAAACCGGTGTCCGTCCCGTCCGAAGCCAAGAACGGACGGACTGGACGCTTGGGAACACTGCACATGCTGCTCTCGCCGCCGGGAACGCTGGGAACGCACCCAATAACGATGCTCCTAGAAACGCCGCTAGGAACGCTGAGAACGCTGAGAACGCTGGGAACGCTGGGAACGCTGAGAACGCTGGGAACGCCCCCCCCGATTCAGAAATACTACGGCGTTTGCGGGACCATCGATGGAGGCAGGACGGTAGCTTTACCGGGCAGGTGGGGGCTATGAGAGGAGGGTGAACTTGAATAGCCGGGGGGGGGGTTCTACAGCATAGACGAAATAGCTATTATTATTCTAATAATATTTTTTTTTTGTGATTGCTTTCTTTAGAAAAACACAGTAAACAGCCAAGAATATGGCCAGGTTAGGCAGATCGAGTGATATCCTATGACAATTTGCCAAGATCATACTAAGATCATACCAAGATCATGCCAAGGAATGCTGGGGGATATTGTTTTATTGCAGAAATAACCCTGTTCAAATCTACAAAAAAGTGAACAAGAGGGTTGGTTTCAGATGTCTGGCACTTATACTGTATCGGTATAAGAGTGCCCGTTGGCGGTCACGGGTTCCGACCCCGCATTGTGCGTACACGGGAAACTATTAGCGTCATACTAGTACGTGGGTAATATTGTCGTAATATTTGAAAACTGTGTTTGCCCCCGCTGCTGCTGCTCCACGAGTTCGACAGACTCTCCCCTTTCCCTAAAAAATTAGCATACTCATGTCAAGGTTGTGGCGCAGCCACAACCCACAACTGCTCGCTGGCTCGCAATCGTGGGCACTCTCAAGAGAGTGCCGGATAGCTCAATGGTCTTTGGGTGTTGCCATAGAAACCTCCTAGCTCCACACAACGGTTGTTATAGTAACCTCATAGCTCAAGACATTGATTTTAGCAAATTCATGTTATCTTCATTTACTTTTTTTTGTTTCTTTGGTAGGCATCAATGGGAAGATTGGGTATTCACTGACAAACAGATATTTATACAGTTGTATTATAATATGTATAACTATGCTGTCATACAATGGATTAATTGCAAAATAATGTTTAGCAACAAAGTTTTTATGGCAACACAGTTTCTATGAAAACAGAGTTTCTATGGCAATGCCCAAGGACCATTGAGCTGTCAAAGACTGTTGAGCTGTCCGGCACTCTCTTGAGAGTGCCCACAGTTGCAATCCAGCGAGCAGTCGTGGGTTGTGGCGCAGCCACAACCTTGGCACGAGTATCCGTATCCTTAATTTCAGTGAACGTGACCAGAGTTCGTCAGACTTTTGCGTACATCCCGAGTCCCTGCGCACATCACGACGATCATCATGACGATGTAATAGTGGGCGATTCGGCTACTTAAACGTCGCTTGGTTCCATGCCGCCAGGAAAATATCCGAACCACAGGAAACCAACATCTTTACCCTGTTATACCTAACATAATATACAAGACTAAGAGCAATGCGTGGTTTGTTTGAGAAATCCTGGAGCCTTGGCAGCTGCGGTTTACTGACTGTACCATATTGTATTTTTCAGGCTTTTTTTGCATGAAACGCTTGCTGCGTTGGAAGGATCGTCATGTCAACAAAGTGAAGCCAGCACGGATCGGACACCCAGTGGTCCAGGTGCACGGTGCCTTCGTCACACGTCCTATACAGAATGAACACAGACAATTGGCCACTGAGATTGCCAATGCGAAGGCTGAGAGCCTACGTGAAGCGTTAGACCGCTTAGAGGTAGAGTTTCAAGAGTTGATTCTAAGTTTCCCGGACCCAAACCCTCAAGTCGCCGCCTACGTCCAATGGAAGCTGGAGAAAGGGTTCGAGGAGTTGGTTCGAAGCTTCGGTGACTTAACATGGCGGGTCACTGTTCAAGTGGAAGAGAAGAGTATGGTTGCCAACTGGCGTGTGTTGAGCCCGGGAATGTGAGGGGTTCAAGGAGCACTTGTGCCTTCTCCGCAGAATGGTGCATATAGTTTTGAATTTTCATATTTATTTTGCTTTGCCTTGCTAGATTCTACTCCTTCCGGTAAAACAAGCGGCCAGTCTGGCCATGCTTTTGAAAAGCACGGGCCGGTCCAGTCAAATTTATCAGTATGATACAATACGATGGGATCTCGGACAATCGAGCCATGTACTATGGTATGTTGTTGGAATTGCTTCCTCTGGCGAGGTGTGAGATTTTTTTTTTTGCTTTTTTGATGTCTCTCGGAGGGGTTGAGCAGCTCGTTTTTGATGTGCTTTTCGCCCCTTTCCCAAAGTAGGCAATTCTCAACCACAGGTCCCTTCAAGAAATACCTGAATGTGGGAGTAAATATTGTGTCACATTGCTACTGCCAAGGATAGTAAAGGATATCTGGAGATTTCTGGAATAAGTATAGTATTGAATAGCATTGTATTGGCTAGACTGATTCTAGCAATCTCCAGGTACCGTATCCTTTACCACCCTGAGCAGCGGCACCCTGACGCAATATTGACCCCCATGTTCAGGTATTTCTTGAGAGGTACTTGTACATATCACACAGTTCGGGTATCTGTATGATAGTTAACCAGACTATTCTAGAGTTTAGAGCCAGGATGGAATCAATACTCGAGTATTTGCGCGCAAGCCGCTCTGCAGCCGCGGGTTACCCAGTTCCCCCGATCACTTCTGGGGCCATAGTGCATTCCCCCCGCAAAGTTCCGACCTTGTTACCGCCGCGCACGATTGTGCGCCCCAAGGGTTCACCAGCCCATCTGACAAGTGACAGGGTATCACAACAGGAGAGATATCTCGCACGGTACTAAGAGTAAAAGGGTTCTTCGGCCCGGATCGGCAGAGAAGGCATTCTGTGAGGGAGAAGTATCCGCCGCTCTTGTTATCCCCTGGACCGACAAGACACTGTCTCGCAGCCATAGCGGTCTCTGAGACATAGATGACAAGGGAGAATTCGACCCTCGACAGGACAAGTACCTCAGTATTCCTCCTCAGTCGTTATCAGTGTAGGTGTGGTATTGTAGCTAATATTATTACAGTCTGAAGTCTACACATCTGCGAGATTATTGTTGTTATAATACGTAGCAACGCTGTAGTTTAGGGGGGAACTTTAGCGGCATTTTGCTATGATAGTTCGTATCGTACCCGCTAAAATTGAGATTTCGTTCCCAAGATAGCTGTCGGTGGGAACACAGTAATTGCTCCCTGCTTGTAGCATTGACGAAGGGTGCGTGATGGGAGGAGGGGGAGAATCGTATTGGTAGCTGTTGTCCTTAGAAAACGGGGCCGCCAGTGGCGTTGGAGAGCAAAGCTGCAATTCTCACAGGCAAGGCGCGGTGGTCCGGTTTCTTTCTACAGCCGTAACGGACGGGGATGGAGGCTTTTGATTTGTCTAGTACTCGAGTACTGTACTACTCAGGTAGGCGCCACCATAGCTATCATATCCCGACCTCCCTTTCGATAAGAGGGTGTATATGGCATCACAGTATGGACGATCGGCTGACAACCTACTGTGCCAGTACTAGTACTATGGTGCAAATTATAGTATCTTTGCTGATCGCAGCTGGTATCATGCTAGAAACTTGTTGAAGAGTAACCTGGCTAACCTACCCCGCAATTCCGGGGCTTCGGGGACCAATTTAAATTTATTGCTTATGCGCACTTGCCTTATCACCAAGTTGCTGGAGGGTCACAGGGCGAGCGACGGGTGCTGCGGACTAGCTCGCTCGATTGGCTGGCATCATAGCAGTAGTTGCGATTTCGTGAGTATTTCGTGTGGAATAAAAACTGTTTGAATGGGTGTCTCATCCATTGAGATGCCCACCGCTCTCTAGAGAGGGTGTTTCGGCGGGGTCATGCTTATGGGCTGGACGGTAGGGTAGAGGAACCGGTTTGGGCGGGATTTTGTTCAGTCTGGACTCTGGAGGTTAGCCAACTCAGTTTGTAGGGAGATGAAGGGAGTTTTGGTAGGACTTACTTTTTTCCTATCAATAAATTGTCCATCGGGGTGGCAAAATTACTCCACCGAGGGCTCAAGAACGGAAAGGGTGAATTAGAGACTTTGCGATTTCGCATCCGGAGTCAAATTCTAGCGATCTCATTGGCCCAGAACCCTGTTTGACCCACATCCAGAGTCTTTTCGCAAAGTCCCTAATAGAATTATGATCACTTGGAATCCTTTCTCAGGATACCCCTTCCTGTCGATTCCAAGCTTTGAGCTACCGGTATGGGGTCGGGCCGCTGTTTGTGTGTGTGCGGGGGAGGGGCGCGTGGTGGACAGGTTTCTACATGCCGTAACCGGCGTCCCCTCCACGAAGACAAACTGCTAGTGTATCCTTGGCTATGAAACTTTCTGATGCCGGAGTGCGGTCGTTCCATGTGGGTAAATTTCGTTCATTTTGTTGATTTCTGCCCCCTGATTGATTTGTGTTGAAGTGCCGGAGGGTCTGATTTGGGTTCCGGAACCACAACACCGCACACATGCCATCCATCCGCTTAAGGACTCCCGAGATAGACTACACGGCCCCTCACTCGACAGGAGAGCTGCCCCGGAAGTGATCGCCGTCATAGACCCACCGAGGTCGGGGTGTGGGGAACTAAAATTTTCATGTCTAGAACAAAGACGTCATATAGGGTTTCTCTCCACAAAAGCCTAAGGCGAGGGATTTGGTGCGGGGAGAGTTGGCATAGTGACGGGATATGATATGATGATATGTTGGCTTTGTTGATCGGCCCAAACTGCAACCAGTATGATACGCTCCCTTCCCTCCCCTTCTCTCTGACCTCAGCAGGTAAGGGCGGGGGGGTCAGTAGGGCATAAAGGATCGACGCAGCTATCATTCCATACGAGTACTGTACATGGCGGGGGAGCACACCTTACCGGTATTCTCCACCTTGGGGTGAAAAGAGGAGGAGAGGGCTCGTTATATATATGGCTGCTCTTCGCCCGCTTTCCAGGAACCTGATTACTTTCGGAGCAAACTCCCGAGTCTTACCTACTTCCACTTCGATCTCCGGGAGAACACATCTGTTCGATTACGACTCACAAACCAGAATGTCGAGCACTCAAGAAAAAAGGGCTGGAGCAACCCACTCCACCACAGACACCGGGGACAAAGCAGCAGACCCGTACAAAGCCAACTTGGACAAGGATACGCCCATCAGGGAGAAGGTCGAGGACCTGATTGCGTTTGTGGAAGGCGTTAAGTTTGGCATGATGACTACCAGGCAAAGCCAGTCCGGGATGCTGGTTAGCAGGTGTATGTCATTAGCAGCAAGGGCAAGCTTTATTAACCCACTTTGATTCCGATATGCAGAGATTAATGGGGACATCAGGAAAACGGAATTGACTTCTTGTTCCATACGAATACGGAAACGGGTAAGACCGACGAGTTGCATTCTGACCCCCACGCCAATTTGGGATTCTTGAAGAATTCAACGGTATGCTTTCGATATCAGCTTTGCGGTGAACGGGGGTTGATGAGTTATAGGGCGAATGGGCATCGATCAGTGGTATTGCGACCGTCGATAACGATCAGGGGAAAGCTACACGGTAGGTCGATTCTTCCAGAAGCTTTCGTCCGACGCTTTTTTTTCCCCCGATGACGGGAACCACTCAGGTACTACACTCCCGCTCTCAAGGCATGGATTGGGGACCTTGGAGATAAAATCCACGACGGAGGTCCCGAGGATCCCCGTTTGGCTGTGATAAGAGTTCACGCCAAGACTGCGACTTACGCCCTTCAGAAGGGAACAGCACTCTCACGAGGACTCGAAATTTCTAGGGGAGCGATCACGGGAAATACCGCTAACACGAAAAAGCTGAGAGAGCTGACCGAAGAGGAGCTACAGACCTTCAGGAACAGTCAGGAATTGATCAGTTAGTGGGCTTCTCCGGTGTTTATTATCATTATCATCATCATTATCCGTTTACAAGTATGATGTGGTTCGATACAAATTTATGTGCTTTACCTAAGAAATTGGTAGGGTTTAGGGTTTCTAGCCTTGCCTCATGATTGCGAAATTGTATGAAAGTGCTTGACGGTTTTTATCCCCACTTGCAGCTTTCCTGCGGACCTTTACTGGAGGCCGATCCGTTGTTGGAAAGGCTCTGAAAAAGATGATTTCACTTTGACGATTATCATTTGTCCGGCCGGCGGCCGAGGCTGACAAGGCTATCTCCGTCCCTGTAACCATCCGTTCTAAACAAAACCGGACACCAGCAACTCTAGGAGGCTCAACTTAGTAAGGCACTTGCACGGTAAGGATGTGGACATCGCGGCTGCCGTGCTTGGTAGACTGCTGGTATTCTGCTGTTCCCCGATGAAGTATTCTCCCCCTCCCGGTGCCAGATTGCAATAAGAAGCAGGAAATATCATAGAAGCGGTAGTGTATCAGATCCAGACACGGAGCAAAGTATTGCACCTTTGCTTCGCACCATCTTATTTGCTTCTTCCGAAGCATTCTGGCTGTGATATTTACCCGTCGTACGTGCAATAATAACAAGTGTTTTCCTGACTCCACCACATGCGTGGGATTTTTCTCGATCGCATTTGTCGACCGTTGCCAGTTCATCAGCCACTCGAAAGTCGAGTACAGTACTCGAGTAATCTCACATGCGAGCGACTGACGTAGGCTTGGATCATTGCTTGGCAAAAGCTCGGAACCTGAGGTGGCCTAGTGACTGTGCCACTTGTACGAGTACAGTGGCCCCGTAGGGGATTGGCCGGGCCAGTCGGTCGGCCACGACGTAATTGGGACTCTTCCCCTGGCGTCGCACACGACACACTCCCGAGCTTGTTAGAGGGTGAGGAGAAAAAAATAAAAAAAATAAAAAAGACCGATAGCAAAGAGAAGCCTGCCCTATTTACTCTGTATGTTACAAACTAGCTCAAGATACCGGTACTGGCCCTCCTACTCATCCCTCCCCCAATCCATCTGACAACCCTCCCTATCTCTCTCTCCCCTTCTCCAACAACACCACACCACACACCACACAAACACAACCCCCTCCCGCTTTATCAAGTCATTACAACCTCCGCCATCCCATCTCCAGTTTCTACCCACTTCAGAGCAAATCCTCCATCCCCCACTGCCGCTCCGTTGCTCTTTCCAATAGTCATTCCTCTTCACAACAACTGCAATGTCCGATCTTGACAACTCTACGTCGGAGGGAACGGCTACCCAGACCGTTAACGGTGAGGTTAGTGTAAACTTCAACGGATACAAACTCCCCATTCTATTCGAATCCAAGGTTTGCTGACCTCCGTGCTGTTTAGTTTTCCCGATCATTCCTATATTCGGGCCTCCTCTCTGTTATCGTGAACTGCCGGGCTGATCAGTTGCAGGATCTCATGCTACCATCCAAAATACGAAGGCCGACTTTTCGGGCCTTGCCAACTCCGCATCCCCTCAGGAGAGTGATACCGCCGACAGTGATCAGCCCCTCACCCACTACCACAGCTTCTTCTATGATCTTTTCACCGTTTGTCTCTCCGTCCCCATCTCCTTCGTGCCCCGGGTGTTTTTCCCCACCCTATCCCTTGCTGACGTAAATGTGCATCATTTCCTCTAGTGGAAATTTCCACGTGCAACCGGATTCTTCTTTTCCTTTGCGATTTCCCTCATTTTAGCCTTCCGTTTTGTCAATGTCCTTCGCTATGTTTTCAAGGCCACCTACCTCCTCTTTTTTGGTGAGTTTTTTTTTTCCCTCCCCTTGTCCCCCTACACTTCACCACCCACCCCTTTGACGGATGGGCTTGCGTGAGTTGGCTCGAGTGTTTCAGAAAGGTATCGGGGTTGACATGAGGCACATAACGGATAGGTGTGGCTTTTCTGGAAATTGCCGCTAGACCCTTTGGCGTGAGAGGATTTATTTCGTCCGTCCGGCCAAAGCGGTATTACACTATTCCGAGGGACTCGCTCGACCGTCTATTTGGGGAGCTTCATGATCTCTTGAACTTTTTCGTTCTCGAATTCCAGAGGGTCCTGTTCGTTGAGAATATATTTGCTACTGTTGTTGTGCGTAATCTGTCTCTCCCCATTCCAGGGTACCGGGCTCTGTTCCTGACAACATATTCTGTTTCCGTTGCAGGCGTTCTTCGCTTCGTTCATTGGATATTTCCTTATCAAGTACATTCCATTCTGGGCCTTGTTGCTTCTTAGTAGGTTTCCCCATCATGGCCATTCTGCCGCGTCTTTTATCAGCACCCGTCGAGGGTTAGGCTAACGGTCTTTTGTTCCCATCGCTAGCAACCATTACCGCTTTTACTGCCCCCTTGATATATCTCCAGAATCAGGAGGTTATCGATGAACAGATTCAATGGGCCAATGAATACGCCAATGCCCAATTGGCCAACGGTCGTCAGATTGCCGAAAAGTACATCGACGATGCTAGTGTGCGCGCCCGTGCCACTGCTACTGAACTCACCCAAAAGGTTCAAAGCTACGCCGTAAAGAAGTCCCCTACTACAGAAAAATCGCAGGCATCCCCACTCCCCAAGAACGACGGTCCCGCCCATGAATTCCCTGATGCGCCCAAGTCCGATCTTCCAACGGTCGATGGCACGAGTGATGTTAAGGCTGCTGCTCCTGAGCCTATAGTTGCATAAGTTGTTTGGGGATAAAGTCCTCATCCTTCGAGGGGTTTGGGTGGATGTCGAGCGTTGGACAGGGGCTGGGCGACATTCAATGGGCAAAACTGATATTGACACTCGAAAGTCCGATTTCTGAGTGGGCGGTACGAAAAACAAAAGTTTGGGGGATATTGGTGTATTTTTCTTTCTCGTTTTCTCTCCTACCTTTTTCCTTTTTCCTCCCAAGTTTTTCTGTGAAAATCTCGTGAACGTGAATGCTATCGGGAATGGTTGATCTGAGGCCTAAGAAGGCCTGTCACGTTGTTCCTTCTATTTATTATACTGCATCATCTCTTTGTTACGGTGCGCTCTTTGTTACGGTGCGCTGCTTTGGTGGCATTTGATGGGAATCGATTCGGAGGGAGCATCCGTCTTTTATCTCGGGCTTTTGATTTCAGCTTTGGTCTTTGGGATGCTGCGCTAGTCGTCGTTGGAGAGCTGTCTACCATATTCACAAACTCGCTGTCTGTTGTTGCTGTTGGCTTTTCCTTCCCTACCTGCCTCAATAGCTTCTCGTACTGTGGTAGCCTGGTAATGCAGCGCTGTTGACACAATCACTCGGGAGGGTTTTCTTCTCTTTACATTTCTCACCAAGTGATTGCCGTATCGTACTGGCCAGGTGGACCCTCTTTTTTTTTTTCACTTTTCCTTCGGGCGAAAAAAAAAAAAAAGCAATTATTGCAGATCCATATTCGTGAGTCGCATCATGGGTTGGGTGTTCTTCCTTGTCATAACGTGAATTCCCGAAAGGTCACAAGAAAAAAGAAAGCAACGCGAGAAATACAAAGGATAAAACTTTTTTTTAGCCGCACGATGAGGGTGCAGCGCAACAAGGAATAAGAGTCCGACATCCCACCGCAAAACGAAAATGTGACAAAGTAAGAAAATGTATCAATCGATCCCTTCAGGAATACAGGGAGAATGCCGTCCGACCTGTGTATCCCGTCCCACCCACACATTAGCATTCCCGAGAGAGAGAGAGCGCAAAAACAAGGGAGAAGGAAAAAGAAAGAAAAAACTCACACAAAGGACAAGACGCAGAATTACTGCTCTTGAACCACTTGAACAAGCACGTCCCATGGAACTTATTCCGGCACGTGGAGCACGCCTTGCTAGGGAGCCTGCGATCCGGTGTGACGGCCACGATGGAGTAGCAGATGGCGCACTCGGCCACGCCCTCGAAGTGCAGGGCCATGTTCTTGCGGAAGAGGGTGAGGCCATCGATGATGGAGGCGGACTGGAAGTTTATGACGGTCTGCGAGGCCAGTTGCATCTTGCGGAAGTCCTTCTCCGTCAGGCCGACACGCCGAACGCCTTCTACCTCCACCTGGCGTAGCGGGAAGGTTGGTGGGATGCGCACGCGAATCTCCATGTGCTGGTCGTCGATGGGGTATGTTGCTGTCACCTCGATTGTTAGGGCCTTGAGGATCTTGACGGCCATTTCTTCGTCTTCGCCCCCTCCAGAGTGGGACTGGATCCAAGCTTGAACGGAGGAGAGCTCCCGCTCGATTAGCAGCGGTGACATGTACCTCTCCGTAAATTCCTCCACCGCGAGCACCCTTTGGCGGGATTTGCATTCCGTCCACCAACGCTTGACGAGTGATGGGGTGTGGCGGAGGGCTAGGTAGTAGATGTGCGTCAGTAGCCAGTGGACTTCCCGAGCGGAGTCTGTGCTGTCTTCTAGCGAAGAGTCGAGGGTGTACGTTTCGAATGGGAGCTTGGAAGCATCGATCGGCTTGCCACGGGAGTGCCCGAGGATGTCGAAGGTGTAATTAAAGAGGGGAGCCAGGAAATCAGCGTCTCTTAAGGCTTCGACATAGGCGGTTCGGACTCTGAAGGACTGTTGGGCCATATTAGTTCCTGGGGGAGTGGGAAGTGGTACAATATGGGAAGGGGACAGGTACCGAGTTTTCAAAATGATCGAATATCAGGATCCAAGCTAGGAGGTAGCCACGGAGACTCCAAGACATGCCGCGCTCGCTATCTAGTTCCAGTGCTTCATCACATGCTGGGGGCTCCATAACGAGCGAGAGTAATTCCTGAGGAAGTGAGAGTTCAAAGTTCTCTTCTCGTGACAAGGCTGCCTCTACTGACACCTCTTCTTGGACTGAAGGGATGTGCCTATGGAGAACCTCGAACGCCGCTTCTTGTATCGAGCGCGAGGGGACATTTAAAAGTGAATAAGTCTCCTCTGGGCTACCGATATATTTCAAATTTATCCCCTTCGTAAGGCGAGCCAAGAGGGAATTACAGAGGCTCCGAGGTTGGTCGTGTTCGTCACCAACTACTCCGGTCAGCCATTTATATATTCCCGAGTGAGAACCGAATTCAAACCTCTAGAACAACGAAGCAGTCTCATCAAAGAGGTTTGCATCGCATCGGCTTGCCCATTCCACGCGTCCTCGAAGTCATCGTTCACCTTATGCAGTGACTTTAACGCTTGGAACAGCTTCAGAGATGCAAAAATAACTGGCAGATCTACTTCTTCGACAGTGGTACACATCTATTCCTCGAATTAACACTTGGCAAAAAAAAAGGGGGGGGGGGATACGACCGGATCAACATACCTCCCAACAATTAGCCACGAACTCGCAAAGCAGTTCCCAATGCTCTCCATAAAGCTCTTTGACAACCGGCAAGACTGTTGTAATAGCCTTCGAAGCCTCCGCAATCACCGAATAGCTAGGATTCACCGCAAATGCTTCATCCTCAAACCAGCTAAGAAGATGCTTTATAAGGAATATAGCCCGTTGTTGCGGTAATGGTAATATGTCCTGCCCGGGTTTAGGCAACGCTGCATTTAGCAAGACGATTTTTCGTAGGCCCACTTCCCCAGCCCTGGAAGCCACTATGCCTGTAATATCACTTGCTAGCCCGTTCCTTAGCCTCTCGGCCTCCTTGGTATGTTCTAATGACTCGCCAAGTCCCGTTAGTAGTGCTGCGCTGCGGTGAATCTCCTGGCCTTTTCTAATATCAATTGACTTCAGCCAGCTCTGAGATTGCTCAGAGGAAAACTTGCGATCTTCAGAGAGGGTGGAAATCACTGTTTCCAGTATCCTGGCGGAATAAAATCCCTCTGGAGTCTCCTGCTTTGACATGTCCATTAGGTAATCCAATAACCTAGAGATATATCCAGGAAGGCTATCTACGCCTCCAGCCACAGGTTCCGGCTCGTCCTTCAAAGATTCAATGAAAAGGCGCTGAGACTCAAAAACGAACTCTAGCATCTCGGTTTCCATTCCCGAAGAATATTGATTCCACAGATCATTTGATTCTCTGATAGTAATGTTGTCATTCGCTAGTACCGAAACCAACATGAGATACCTAAGGAGGGTTGCTCTCGAACCATCGGGGATACCTTTCAAGATATCTGTAGTCTTTCCGTCCTTCCTCTCGGGGATGCCCATAGTTTTGAGAAACTCGACGATAAATACCGCCATCCGCAGAACTCTAGATAGGCCGTCCAGATCACGAACTATCTCCCCCGAACTAACGTCATTTTGGAGATCCTTAACCAGAAAGACGGCACCACCAATAGGATTGGAGACAGCCAGTGATAGCTTTGGAGCCCTCCTCAAGAATGGGCTCAAACTAGTCCTCCATTGATCCTCGTTGAAAAGAACCTTCTCAGCAAGTGCTATCCGCTCATCCTCCGGAGCACGATGAACCAAATCGTGCGCCCTCTCAGCCAGGAAATTAAGACTAACAAAAAAATCAGAATCTCCAAATATGCGAGCAAATAGTAGTACATAGCATACCCAGGATCAGAGTCTTTCGGTTCAAGAACACTTTCCAACAGGGCATCCAACAAAGAACTAACAAGAGCCCCCGAGCTATTGGACAGCTCCTTCTCAAGAATCTTATTTAGTCTTCCCGCGGCGTTTGCAATCTCATCCGAAGGAGATCCTGTCAGGACGAGCAGCGTGGATAAGAATTCAACACCGCTCTCCGAGCGGGAAAACTCCGCCAAGGCTTCCTTCGATACTAATCTGAGCTGCTCGAGAACCCTCACAGTGCGATCCTCTTCTTCAGAAGAGAAATTGCTTGACAGTTCTATAAACATTGTCGTGACAGCTGCCTCGGAAATAACTGTTCCTACGCCAGTTGTGAGCAAACGTGTCGATGCATGCCTCCCGGCGCCCCGTACCTGGAGAAGTCATAGCTGCCCTCATCATTTCCCAGCCTACAGTGTTGTCCGTGCTAACGCTCTCCCGCACCTTGCTCACCACATAAGTGTCCAATTCTTGGACAAATGGTAGTTTCCCTTGGAGCATTGTAGGAGTCGATCTCAGAAGTTGAATTACTGCAGCCTCCCTTCTCCCCTTCCCTAAGGATGGAACCAATAATGCCCTAATGTTCTTGTCCCAGGCTCCCCGAAACGATTCTTCGCCAGCGGCTTTTCTAGCGCAAGCTATAAGCCCAGACAGTACATGCTTCCATGAAGGTGACGACATAAGCTCCGAGGCATGATCCGCGAAAAATAATGCGACAGACTAAGACCCATCAGTGCTTATTACATCCTCTCGGAATTAGCTCGGAATAAACCTTTTTCACTTCCTCAATCTTTAGAACCCCCGGACATTGCACGAGTAAAGACTCTAATAGTGAAGTAATTTCGACATTTTCTCCTAGTCTTCTCGTTAGCTTGCTCTCTATTCAGCGCACACATAAATCTAAAATATCCACCTTTTTCCCTGATAACGCGATCCAGGCTCAATTGTAATGTCTTAACAATGCTCTGTTTCACATGATCAACCACGTAATTGCTATCTCTCTTAAGTATCTCTGCTGAGAAATCAACCCATTTGCGCCAGCGACTTGCGCGATCACCTGGAGAGTCGGCTCCCTGAACGGCATCAGGATTAATGTTCTCCATTATGGATCCCCCCACCTTCTCCCAAACTTCCATCGCAACAAGGTTAGCAATCTGAGCATCCGCCATTTCCCCTGCCATAGCAATCCCAGCAGCACATATTTCAGCTCCAAAATACGGCAATTTGTAACGTGCATTCTCGGCATTTCTCAGCAAGAACCCTTCAAAGACAGGATAGAGTGCGTCTCTCAGGAGATAGGCAGTGACCTCATCCTGGGTATCGACTTCCCCTGTCGCCATCATATGATAGCAAACCCGGAAGTAGGCACTCCAGGCAGCAGTTACATGCGATCTCGGTTCAGGCCCGCCCCAAAGCCCGTCCAGAATACTTTCTATTAGCTCAGTGACCCCCCCGACGTCCTTCGGGAGAATTTCCCGAGGCATCAACGTGATCATTTTCGAAACCCTATGCCAATATTCTGGTGACCCGCCCTGGCTCCCACGTTTTATGAACTCTATTACAAGAGAAAGTGGTGTTTTTTGCCGAGGGGGTGTCACCGATATCCATGCTTTGTATGTGTGCGAAGTCAGGTCTAGGATCGCATCTAATAGCTCTCCGACAGAACCAGTCTGAGGCGACAATAGCGCCTTTACCATCAGGGTGTTGGCTACCACCTCCAAATTTAACAAAATGAAGCCTATCAACCCGTCAGCGATAGCTAGGCTAAGCCCCCTGGGATGAAATAAATAAATAAATACCCTCTTGGCTTATTAAACACGTTCTAACTAGCTTATAGATGGACCTCCGAAGATACGGATCATCATAACTCCCAAACTCCCAGAGGTGAGACTTCCCAAAAAGTCCCTCATATTTCTCAGACTGCTTTTCGATCTCTTCCGAGGGCAACTGACCTACAATTGCACAATCGGTCAGAAAGCTACGTTTCGTCACATTAAATCACTCGTAACAACGAGATCAGGAGAAAACGAACTGATGAGGTGCGCAACTGTATGAACACAAGTAGCTATAACTCTCGCAAACTTAGATTCCGCCTCGTCGGAAGAAAACTGCCTCTCATCACTCAGTGACTTCACAGTCTCATTCTCAATAACACTAGAGCAATAATCCAAAATGTCTGGTTGGCAAGCCGCCCAGACATTCCGTATCTTCTCCTGCGTACTGAATACCGCGTTCAATGACTCCCCTGCCGCCCTCGCAGAACCCCGGTCGCTATCGTAGAGCCCAGCCAGCCAGGGCCCCACAATCTCCGACATGTGTCTAGCAACCTTCTTCCCACTCTTCTGTGAAATAATCCCGTGGACGATGTGGGCGAACCGACGTACGCCTACCGAGATATCCGTTGATAATCGGGGATATAATCGAATCTAGGAAGAAACCAACACGAAGCGAAAGCGGTGAGCGACAGGAACAAGTCAGCAATTCCCACCCAAACTTGCTCCGACTCAGTAAGGTGGAAAGTGGGCATTGCGCACCCATGCCGCGAGTACTATATCCTCCACGTCCTCCAAGCCCGTGATTTTCACTTGTAGATCCTCCAAGGCTTTTGACTTCGTAGTTTCGTCCTTCTTCGACAGAAGCTTCAGCAGGACCACCATAGAAGGATCAGACACCGCGGATAGGTCGGGCCCCTCAGATGTGTGTGAAAGCGGGGACACGGCGGGGACGTAAGGAGCTTTGGAAGACGGCCCAGGGCTGGCTCTGCTATTCCGAGCAGAATCATTATTCTCATTCCGACCACCGGCGCTTTTACCCCCCCGGGCGGAGGCAGCACCGCTGCGGCGGGATGACGAGCTACTACCGCGGCGAGAGGAGGACTTCTTCCTGCTCATTTCCAGAATAACCGTGGAATCCGGTGGTTTCGGCTAATAAGCTCCTGAGGTTATTGGTAGACTCTTGCCTTCCTTTTTTGGTTGAGGTGATAGCGAAGGGAAAAGTGGTGTTTGGCTTCTCGGTGCAAAAGGGCAGAGGCGAGTCAGTCACAGGTCAGCAGCCGAATACCATGACAAGCGCTGCTTGAATGACGACAACCGCTGCCTGTCCCTAAAATTAGTAAGCATTCTTGGCAATACAGATGCACTAGTGTGATTGGGGTTCATCCGTTCTCACTCGGACGATAATTTCAGAACACCGACTGAGAGAATGCCGTACCGCTGCTATAGTGTCCGGTTCCAAAATACAGGCCCACTACAATATACATACGGACATACCTTCATACAAGTGCCAGTGAGTACAAACACCAAGATGCACAAGTGTCTCCAACACCGCCCAGGCGAGACACTACCCCCGCAAAGCGCGGCGGAAGCACCAAGAAACAGAAATAGCTCATGACCACCCCAAAAAGGCCCAGAAACGTTGCAAAGCGCAAACAAAGAACCCATGCCAACGGAACAGTTCCATCCCCCCTCCCCCGATCTGGAGCCCCTCTCTGAGCAAATAAGGCATATTCTGTGTCTCAAGGGAATATGAGTTTCACTCAAATCACGCTCCATTCCACCACAGGATCGAACGCACATATGTATCTTGGGATATGATCTAGTGAAAACGGTCCAACTACAATGGCAAAATTCTCGGAGAGGGTGCGTCCGCCCTGATCCCAGGAACGTCGCCACTAGGTGCCAAAAGAAGAAAAGAAGAAAAAAGCGTTGATTCTGGCTTCCTCGAACCCTTTCAAGGATTCCTCACAAAAGCCCTTTCTACAAACCAGCCTTCAACCCTCTCTCCTCAGCAAACCTGCCAGTTTTTCATCCCCCGAATACTTTTTGAGAGCAAAAACTCTCCACTCCTCCCAAGATTCCTCATGGCGTATAGGAAATTCCCTCAGAAGTCCCATAAAGGCCTTCCGGTAGTTTTCCATGTTCTCATCATAGAGGGTATAGCCAACGCAAATCCGAAGTCTTTGGAAGATCTTCCCCAACCGAACACAATCACCAAGATTAAAATTAGCAGGGTGATTCGCGCCCCCGTGGCCAGCACCATCCAGAAGCTGCGCGAACTCAAGTTCTGAATTGCTGAGTGTTTTTCTCTCGGAAAAGAACTCCTTTGAGTCCCAAAGGGCGATCGGAGAGGTGAATGCCTCCGCCTTTTGGGCTGTGTATGCACCCTCCCAGTCGATTATGCCAGTGATGTTGAAGTCTTCGTCAACCATAATATGGTCGCCCTTGTCATCAAAGTGACGCAAATAAAACTTCCCGGTTCCCTGCATGTCCTCCGGCCACTGCCCCAATAAATCGAACAGGAACTTATGAATGAGGTAGGCATCAACGGCCCAAAATGGGTACAATTCGCCCACAACAATCATATGCAGAATGCGAGGGATTAACACGGAATAGTAATCCTTTAAATTAATAAAAGGTCCCGGAAAGCCGGCGAGTTGCTGGATAACACGATCCCCATTATTCGTGAGAGCCAGGTCCACCATCAAGTCATGAACAACAGGGCCAACATTTGTCGATCCAGGGGTATCCAGAGACCCCATAAGGGGAAATGGATGCCGATAAAGCTCCTTATAGACTTCGGCCAATTGAGCCAAAACTTTACTCAATTGTTCGATCGTAGGCGAAGTGGAAAGCAAATTCTTCCCCTTGATCGTTTCCATTAATATGTACCCCGTTCCTACAGGGTTGTTCGAATCCAAGGCATAGGCAAAAACCTCTGGCACAGGAACCCTGGTTTCTTTCTTCAAGAAAGAGTAAGTCGCCACTTCGCTCCTAATCAAGTAAGGTTGTACTGCTGCGGGTAGAGTGGAAGTATTACGACGTTTCAGTCTTGCCATCCAGCTAAGGCCGTCATCAAATACGAGTTCAAGATGGAGGTTGACAGCCCCCATTGCAGGACGGGAAGGTGCTTTGTCATAACGAAAAGGTTTCACGAAGCAGGAGATGCCGCCCCGGAACTTAGAGGCAATGGTGGTGAGGGCTTTGACATCGATGGTCTGGAAAAGAGCTCTCAACTCCTTCACCAAAGCTTCTTGACCGGCCACCTCGTACTCCTTTGTCTGAAAGCCATCAGCCAGGGTAGTCTAAGGGGAAGAAAGGGAATGGTGACAGATGGGAGTTGGACGGCACTAGGAAAACATACATTCACTCTCGGACACCGATGAAATCCCGACTGTAGATGCAACAAACAGAGGTGCCTTCCACAGGGCATACAGTCCCCATGTCTACGAACGGCGGAGTTCAGACAGGCTGTATAATCGCATCCCCAGAGCGGCATATTGTAGTCGGTGATCTGAAGCTTGCTGCCGAAAGAGTCCTCAGATAGCCTTGAGGTTTCCGGAAGGGTCCAAGGGGGAGATTTGTGGGGAGGAGCTGAATCGGTGGGGGCTAGGGTAAAAAAAGATTGGGTTTGCTTCTGGAGGCTTCCCGTGGCCAGCCCCACATACGTACTATATTCGAGCACTCGAGCACTTGGGGGGTGAACACAAACGTGGCGATTTCAGTTTTTGCTAGCCAAAGACTTTGATGAGAGGAACCAGACAAAGGGCCGGCAAAGGTGAGGCGAACCCGCCCTCCTCCAACGGTACCGTACCGCAGCGGCTCCACCATATGCAGGCACTGCTCACTAAGTGGCCGAAGTGGCCAATGATACAAGCCGACCACGCCCCCTTCGCCACACTTGCCCAAAACAAACAAACAGTGGATCACATTTTCCCCGAGAGACAGGTTTTTATGATAGCGGGAAGCAGCGCATCAGAAGCCATAAATACCTTACCCATCCATGCTGAAAACCAGCGAGCACTCGCTCGAACACTATCCATCCATAAAATCCAATCATAGTAGCACAAGCACAGGCACCAGATCCCGGCGATACGGAATACCGGTGGGGGAACCCACGAGTATTCTTCAGTTCTAACGAAGTTGGCTGGCAAATTGAAAGAGAATCATAGGATGTCACTCTGTTCTCCGCCAAAGCTTTTGAGGAGGGAAAAGGGCGAATACCACTCAAGAACTGGTCAACGTAGTCCCCGGGGCTACTCTGATTCCTCCTAGATCATGCCATCATATCAAACTGTCCCCTATTGGTTGGAGCAGGGGTGGGAGTGTCTCATCTTTATAATGCCAGGCGCCTCATTGGACTGGTTAAAGGCTTGGAACCACCTTCCATACCCCAATAATCACTCGTATCGGCGATGCAGTCCAGCGCACCAGCGCTAACCGGGAGGCGGAGCACCGCAGCTTGGCCATAGTCGAGTATCACACGGCGCGGCACGTAGAGTACGGTTGACAGCTAGATTTGGTACTATAGTTCATGTTACACTCCCAATCTTCCCGACAGTTTACAGGCAGTACGGGTACGAGTACATGTACTGTACATGAGATCCCTCTGCTGTAGCCGACATCCCCACAAACACCAATTCCCTCGTAGAGTAAAAGTAGCGCCGAGCCGTGGCGATGTGGACGAGCTTCCCGATTTCTACAGTACGGTAGGGGTGATACGGGCCGAGGAATACGGATAAGTACGAGTACCTGCACCACCACTCGAGCAAGAGAGAAGCTTGACGATACAGCATCAACCTACCGGTACCGTACCGTGCCGGAGCTGTGAGGCCTCCTCGGTGCTCGGAAGATAAGTTGGATGCAATCAGTGATTGCCCCCTCTCAAGAGAGATCTCATCATACAGAGTGTTTCAGTCTCCGAGCCCTTCCACCGTATCCGAGGACAGCATACGGTACGGTACAGAACTCGTACAGTACTCGAGTACAGGTATTATACGTGCCACACCAGCCATCATATCCCACCTCTGCCGCCCAAATGCGAAAAAAAAACTCCCAACAATCTCTCAACCGAGAAGGCTACCGTACTCGTACAGTACAGTACATCAATCCCGCCCCAAAAAACAAGCCCGATCCACTGCTAGAAATATTTTGGACACACCGGTACAGTATTACCAGGACACAGCGAGAACCGACCCCCTCGTGGCGTCTGACAAAGCAACACGGTGCGGTAGACCGTCCCAACGGAAACCCCCGCCAGAAAATTGCGAGCCATCCGGACAAGCTAAACCCGTTCGACATTGATAACGTTCCGGGGGGCGGTGAATAGATACCGTACGAGTAAGTGAATCGGCGGTGAATCTTTTATATCCCCGAGTTTTGCCTGATTGACCCCCGAGTTGTCCTTGATACCATCTGCGGGAAGGTAGAAATCTACAATACCGTACTCGAGCAATGGTCGCTGCGAAACCTTGACGGCAGGAAAGAAGCAGAGTGTGGATGGCACGGTCATGGTTGCCTTCCCTATTTAACCCTTCTGTGTCTGGAAAATGGCAAAGTTGTCAAGCGATTTCACGCGTGGCGAAAGCTTCAACCTTCTCCGTGCCTATCATACTGGCAACTCACCGTACCTTATCCTATCCTACCGTACTGAAAGAGCCGCCAGGTGCCGGACGCCAGTCACGGTACTGTACTGGGACAAAACACCGCCATCAAACAAGGCATCCTGATCCTCCATCCCTCAGCTGCGACAATACGGTAGTCCACCGCCACCCACCATCCCTCTCCAACGCGCAGCATCCATGGTACGCAAACCCCGACATACCGCGTCGTTCCCCGCAAGATCTGAGAGCGCGCCACGCATCTTTTAGTCTGTGAATGAGGCTCCCACATAACAACGTCCCATGATCGAGTTCTTCTTCGTGCTTAACTGCGCCCCCGGGTAGACCAACACCCAAAACACTCCTGATCGAAGTCCATAAACACGGTACCTAGTCTACCGTATATGACGATCTACCTGTAGATTGTTCAGATATAAGGAAGAGGAAGAAATAAGAAAAGGAAAAGAAGGAAAAAAACATAAGACCCTGTTTGGCACGCGATCAATAAAAAAAAAAAAAAAGAAAACAACCCGCACGCGATCCAAAATGTCTAGTGATTACGGGAGCGATATAAACCTTGACGATGAAGGGGACCTTTTAAACATCCTCGACGGCAACATCAACGATAGCACCGCTTACGGCTCAACACCATCTTCCACCGATCTTCCTCAACAAGGCCGTGAGGGAAAGCGGGTGGCAATAGACAATGATGGTTTTCCGGACTCTATTAGCCATGTCAACCCCGCCAGCTCAAGGAGGGTGGTCCTTGCTCCAGTGTTCCATAATGACTCTGTCGATCAGGATGGCGAGGAAGGACCCATTCTGTACCCTGAACTCGCTGTCGGGAAGGACGACGAATTCATCATCCAGTACCCTGACCTCCGTGCATGCTCAGATGGTGAGAAAGAAATAATCCTCCTTCCATTCGCAAGAAAGAAAAAGAGAAGAAAATATTCAGAAAAGCAAACTCTAACCGACGACAAAGCGAGTGGCAGCAGTAGATGACGATGAGCAATCAAACATCACCGGTGCTCCACCAATTTTAGGGCGAATTGCTGAAACCCTGCCGGGAATGCAACCTGACGATGTGCCAATCCCTCCCGAAATTGATAGCCGTTCCCCATTCGATCGATTCCGAGCACGAAAGAAGGCTCTGTCAGTTACGGATTTGGTGTCTGGTGTGTGGTGTGAGCAGCAGTTCAAGTATTCACTGGAGCAGGGGTTCAAACGCCCAACACAAGCTATGAAGAAGGGCAAAAAGGTACATAAGGTTCTTGAAGAGCAGGTTCACACAACTGTTCGGGTGGAGGTTGCAACGAAGGAGGATCAGTGGGGGTTGAAGTTGTTCAATATGTGTCAAGGACTGCTGAGTTTACGCCATGGTGGGCTGACGAGAGAGCTGAACGTATTTGGGTTTCTCAATGGCTACTTTATACAAGGCATCATCGACGAGGTATCATACACGAACCCCAAAACACATGTGGCAGAAAAAACACCCCCGACAACAGCATCGGATGAAGCCTCGGATTCGGATTCAGACGGTGGCGTCCTACTGCCAATCGATCTCACAAGCCCCTCCTCCCCTCCTCCCTCAACCCCCGAACACGATCTGATGGCACACATATCAGACACTAAGACCCGTGCCAGCCAAACCGTCCCCAGAGGTTCCCAATTGCGTGCAACAGTCCTTCAATTAATGCTCTACCACCATCTCCTCTCCGGCCTCCACGCTGGAGACGTAGACTTCACCAAAGTTTTGGAGAACTTTGACCTCGACGGCTCCAAGAACTTTTCGGACAACTTCCTTGCGCAAATCGCCTCGTTGGATTCCGAAATCAGTCTCGAAGAGCTATTAGAGAACAACTCTCTCCGGGGCCTTTGGGGTATCCTCCAGCGCAAACTGAGAGAGGCCATCAACACGATCAGTAACACTCTGGCGGTAAACTACAGAAGCCAGAAATATGGTGATATCATGGAAATCAAAACCTTTGAGTATGACGAGGTGTTCTTGACCGAGCATTTAAACCATACCCTCGACTGGTGGCAGGGCAAGAGACCAGCCGCGGGAGTAGAAATTGAGGAGGCATGGAAATGTAAGCTACCACACGAACTCTCCCTCCACTCAGGAAAGCCCTAGCCTAACAAAGAAAAAAAAAACCCCCTCAGGTGGAAGATGCGAATTCGAACCAGATTGCACCTGGCGCCTGGCCAAGATCGAAGAACTAAGGCGAGCACTGGAAACGAAGAAGACCAAGCGCAAACGCTCGGCAAGTCCAAAGAAGCAGAAAAAAAGCTAACCCTGTGAAGATGGAGGGAATGTATTATCTACTGTAGAATGTAACCTTTGGCTCATACTGTTCCTGTCTTCGCTTGTCTTGTCTGCCCTGCCCTGTTTTGCTCGGCGCTAGGTTCAGTGCACTGTACAGTACTGTACTAGTATTGTAACATACGATGCCTGTACATGGCACCGCACGGTGAATTGTGTTTCAAGGGCAGGAGGAGGAGGGGTAGCGCACGATATTACAATGTCAGTGGAGCGTTCTCCCATATATATATACTGCTCCGCCCGTCCGCACCACACCGTATCAATACTATCGGAGGGTGGATAGAAACAATTCTTGTCGGTGCATAAACCCACGCCATTATTAACTTATACCCATAGTCAGGCACGGCACGCGAGCAGCCCGGAAAACGTACATATGGTAGACTATGATATCATACCGCCCAACACCCATCACACCGATATCGTACGTAACTCATGCTAGCCCTGGTAGAACCCCATAACCTATGCCTTATATCAACTAGAATACCACCCCCCCCCCCCCCTCCAAAATAATCGCTCTCCGTTCCACTTTCCCTAAAATAATAAATGACACGATATCGTGAATATCCGTCTCCCCTTCTTTTTTTTTTCCTTCGAGAGAGTAGTTCACGCCACATCACTCATTTTATCCATCACGATGAATTCAGATCACGAGCGCTCACTCGAATTTATATTCCTGAGCCCGACCGATAATAATCGTACCGTATCGTGAGAACCGAGGTGGTCCTAGCCAGGTTGGCAATTGGCCTCCTTCTTATTTTTATTTTTTTTACGGTATTATTATTCATTCATTGTAATGGTAGATACGGCACGATACAATGTGCCCGCTTCGAGTTTTCCACACCCACGATGCTGACGTGAGCGGATGTGAGGAATGGACAGTTAGTTAGTTAACTTAGTTGGAAGGATGGGAAAAGGCGGTTTGGAAGATGTCCGGATCTCAGGGACCTCATCCGGGACAATGGTGTACCGTACGAGTACAGTATTGTGTTGGTTCTATCCGGAATGGCCGGAGAGAGATGGATGGGGATCGTGCTGATCAGAGATAGATAACGGTGATGATGATGAAAGTTACATCCTCACGAGAGGGCCTCTCTCCGTCCACTTATCATCACAGAGGGTAAATTTGTTATAACATGATACCGTGCTATATACAGATTTTTGGCAGTCGGTCCAGATGGCACAGTGGACTGCCGGTATAGTGGTTTATTGCCGCCATGTTGCTGTATGTACCAGTGCGAGGCCTTTTCCCTTAGTAGGCTAGCTTCCTACGATACTCGTATCATACTTGTTAACTAACTAGGAGTATTCAAGGTTAAATAAAGGTACTTTCAGCAAACAAGTAAGCGCGAGAAGTTGCGTTAGTAGGTCACTTTATGGTGTTGACCAATAGCATTCATGCCTTTTTGGTGGCATGTTCGAGCGCACTATGGTAAGTGAAGGTAAAAGGTATCGCCGATCGGGATTCTACCAATAGTGTGAAAAATTCTTTTTATGTTGAAGAAAAAGGAAAAAAAAATTAGATAATCGTTCTTCTAAAGGCACACTTATCATATTATTATAGATTTTTACGTTTATATTTATTTTTAAAAACATGCTTTCGACTTTATGCATTATTTCTGCATTCTGGAATGGTTAATTTACCGTTACTTAACTTTCAAGGTACCATATTATCATACTCGAGTAGGGTAGAGACAAAGGTCTGAAAGTCTATGATGGATACCGGACCTGATTTCACACAGCTTTACAATACCAAACCTCTAAAACCAGACAAGATATAAGATGAATATTTTTTTTAAAAAAAATCTTACCATAGCACATACCAGGAATAATTATGCACTCTCACCAATAAAAAAAAATCTTCAACTTTTTGATATTTTGTGTGACAGAAACAGGTTTCTTACCATCTCTGCCAGTTTAAGATAAGGTTTATTGTAACCTTTGTACTTTTTACCTTCGACTGCCTTAGAACTTTCAAATATGGTGCCTGGAACGTGAGTATGCTATTGGCTGATACCGGAAAGAATGTAAGCTTATGCAACTTCCAGCATTTACTCATTTAGTATGGCACAGTGCGAGATACCGGTATTAATTTCCTACCCGAACCTCTCCGGCTGGTGCGGTAAATGAAGGCGTGTTATGGTGGATATGGTGGAAACTCTCAGGATGGGGATCGTTTTGATCGGGATACTCGAGTAGCACAGTGAGGGTGCAGTACAGTGCAGTGCAGTGCACTATCATACATAACTCGGCGGGGAAAGGGATCCAATTCCCGCTGTGTGGTGTACCATATCATATCATACCTATCATAGATATGATAGATGAAGGTATAGTAAGTAACTGTACGAGTACCGGTACTACAGTACTGGTACTAGTACAGACCACGGCAACTTCAGTCCACTACCGGTATCGTAGCACTAGATAGTGACGACATTGGACCGAGAAAGAATACCGGGGGAGAAGAACGGTGTGATAAAAAGAAAATACCGGTACGACACGACGGAATATATACACCAGTAATACTCGTAATAATAATAATGATAATAATCTATCCTCAAATTTAAATTTTAAATTTTTTTCTTCTCTTCCCCAGGTTATTGGCCAAACACGGCAATCCTCAATCACGGCATCAATTCCAGAGAAAGGTCGTCATTCGTCAGCCTCAGTTTCTTGGACCTGCTCAATCTTTCTTCCTCTCCCTCCCTCCCAACACCACGGTTAAGCGTTCGGATCAATTTCCCAACCGGGGGCTGGTAAAAAAAAGACAAAAAAAAAAAAAGACTCTCCGAAAGAGGAAGAAAATCAATCGCCCTTAAGGCACGAAGGGCAAAAAAAAAAAAAAAGAAAGAAAAACCACCTTCCAAGATGGGTATAGTAAATCTTGGACCTTGGAGATTAATCTCTCGTTTAAAAAAGAAATGTCCTGCCGGATTTGGAGTCTTTGTATGTTGAGATAACCTTCAAAGTACCGTGCTTTACCAGTATAATACTAGTACGGGTACTCGAGTACTAATAGCATCGGTACCGTCGATGGAAAGGACTAGGGGGGGTTCTTATGTCGTTTACTGGAGTGTAATGTGCGGTCACGATACCGATAATAAATAATATTATCATACCTGTGGGAGTATGATGCTGGCGTCGCACCGTCGATACTCGTACAAAACTTGAATCTCACGTGCGCCGGGTAGCCGCTTGAAGAGGAGCAGTTTTTTTTCCCCCAACCCTCTTTAGATGGAATGGGTGAGGAAAAAAAGGACAAATAAAATAATCTCAGGTGGGATTTTTTTAGTTTTTTATTTTCAAATCGTTCCGGCATCTGTATTTGCAAAAAAGTTATTTTTGTTCGTACTGTACTGGTACTAGTACCCTGGCCTGGCTCGCCAAAGAGTGTTCCACCGTCTTCATCGATTAATTATGGTGTGTGCCCCGAAGCGATAAAACCATGACAAGCAATGGCTCCCGATTAGGCGCCACATTAAAGATATTTCACCCCTGAGATACGGTACGGCAACTGTACTCTACAGTACCTCCCAACGGTTGAGCAAAAAGCTCAAAAGAGATTGTAGCGATAATAATGGGGACTCTCGAATTCGTTCATCAGACTTCGCGCGGTATTGTTCGCTAGTTTCGATGCCGTCGTCGATTCAACGACTCGGTGTGGGCAAGTTCAATTCCCGTTCGCGCGAGTGCGGTACAAGTACTAGTACAGTATCGAGGGGGTTCCGAACCTTTTCTCCGCGAGAGCGAGCGGATGGATGGCTGTTTTTTCCTGCGATTCTTGCATGCTAGAGGTCAGTGGTTGTGCTCCCGGTGTGTCGTGCAACTGTGCCCACCGGTATTTACGAGTACTCGAGTGGATGGATTGATGCGATGATCTACCGGTTGCATTCGCCCCCGCCCAATCGCTTTTCGCTATGCGTTTAAAGTGTGGCGATTCGGGGTGGCCTTTCTTGTTCTCTCGTTGGCTCGGTTGCCCTTGGTTCGGCTGAGACCTTCACGGAAGGGTACAGCACTCGAGTACAGCATTCGTACCGTCGCACACCAGAAAACGCTACCGTACCGGCAGGATGCAGAGGCGTAGGGTAGACATGCTTTGCACCATGCAGTGTCCGGACGTTGAACACAGATTTTCATCTCACCCACGAGCGGTGGAGAGTACTCGTACAGCACCGGTAGTGGTGGTGATGCTGGAAATAGCGACCAGCGTCGTCATTATTCACAAATATATGCATCGGGTGCGGTGCGGTACGCCACATGAAATGTTGGAATGTTGTCTCTTTCAAAATAGATTCCGTCGGAACATTCAATTTCCCCCATCCCTCAAGTGCGCTGCCCACACATGGTGGGGGGGGGGGGGGCGAGCGTCCTTCTATTTCAGTGCTCGAGTGGCACACGGCAGCGAATCAGGAACCGTACTGTAGCTTCTCACTCGTTATCTGTATTACTCGTTAGGGATGTGCAGTACCTGTACCTGCGTTAGCGTGCGCCTGTGGTGTTGGGCTAGAGCTAAAGCGGAGATTTGTTGACGAAGGGTGAAATGACGACAACAGGGGTGTTGCCCCCGGTCACTCGAGGGAGGGGGTGAGAGTGAAAGAGTGAAAGAGTGAAAGAGTGAAAGAGTGAAAGAGAGGGAGAGGGAGAGGGAGAGAGGAAAAACGGAAAGAGAGAATCGAGTCTGACACGACAGGTGGGGATGAATGTTCGACGGGCCGTTCACCACCACCGCAGTGATGGCAGAGGGAGTGTACTCGTACAGTAGGAGGAAAGAGCATAGTCCAGAGTGTAGTAAGCCAGGGAATACTGGTAGTTGGCCTTCTGCGCACCCTATTCCCCCTCATTTTTCTTCTTCTCCCCTCGGATGGCTGGATTCCTCCGTTCGTTTGGGTTATGGAGGGGTGAGTTTTGGTCTTCCCCTTCAATTCCATACGGCCAACATGAGCGGTTGGTTGGGTCACTGCCGGTGTGCTACTAGCACTTGTACTCGAGTACCGTACATGTACAATGTACCTGTCCAACCTTCCCCCCCTTCGCGCCCGAACGAAGAAAGGGGACGGAAAAAGATGGCAGAACACGTTGGTCAGTCAGTCAGTCAATGCTGTCTCCGTCGGATCTCGCAATGCTCCCGCTTCCCACCACGCCCTGCACGAATGACCAGTGTGGGAGAGGTGAGCGGGGAGCTGCATATTCTGAGCTCGAGGACACTTGTATTTCCCACTCTCCCCCCTTCCCCCTCCATCATACAAGTACTCGAGTACTCGTACAGGCGCGGCACCGTACCGGTACGCACTTTGCCGCACATACCGGTATCATGCATATCCGGCTGGGTACTCGAGTAAGCACGAGAGATCCCAGTGAGAAGGTGGTGTTACCGGGTCATACGGGTACTTGTATTCTGGTGTTGGGGGGGGGGATTACAGTATACTTTACTCGGATTGACCAATTGAATGAAGGAATCTCCAGATTTTGGAGCAATTTCAACTTATCCACTCATACAGTACAGTACTGTACCCCCCCTACTCTAGCCTGTACTCGAGTACTAGTACCGCTACCGGTACTCGTGATCCATTTGGGGAAGGTTCTTTGTATTTTTATTTTATTTTTTACTCTTCTTTTCTTTTGGCTCCTTACCTCGAATTAGCCGAAGGAATCTCCTGCCCCTGGTGTGGGCTCTTTCCATGATCCCTGGATCATGGGACTGGATTGGCCAATTGGGTTCCGAGTACCCCTGAGAAGGTTATTGCTGTTTTTGTATCCGCCAGCGGCCTTGGGGGATGGGAGGAGGAGGGCACACACACACACTGCACACTCTGAGCCTGATCCTGATACCTGTGGACCAAGGCCCTAAACTGGGGATGTTGTTATTGTGCGAGTTGCTCGCAGCTGTTGCGGTTGGTGAGTGCTACCTGTCTAGGGTCGGAGGGAGCCTCGCCCAGCACTGTTCTAGTACTGTATCATACCGTACGCTACGGTACAGTCCTACAAGTAGCAGCACCCGTAGGGCCGCACTCACTCACACCCTCGTGGGTCCCCTTTTCTCTGGCCGCTTCCCCCGCCAAGTGCAAAAAGTCTCCCTTTCCCTTCCTTCCTTCTACCTGGTACACCTGATTCTTCCCTTCTTTCTTCTACCGTACCCTCCCTCTCGTTTCTACCTGCTCCCCCCGTCTCTTCTTCCTCCTCCTCCTCCCCCTACCTTGCCAATTCTCGTAACGTTTAGTTGTCCTTCCTTTATCAGCAAACATCGAGTTTTACCCTCCTTTTTCCCTTTCGCCTCTCGCCCCAGTCTCTCTTTTTTTCTCTTACCGCGACGTAGAAAGGGGGGAAGGAGCCAATTGTTTCTACCGACATACAAACTGCTACACAGATATCGCGTGTTTAGGTCGCTTTGTCTTTTTTTTCTTCCTATTCTTTCCCTTTTCCTTTCCGGCGGGCGGAATAATATCGCGATTGATCGATTGATAGTCTCTAAAACGACATTTACACAAATTCAAGATTTATCTATTGGAGGCCCATTGCTTGGTTTTGGTGCCGGGTTTACTATTCGTTAGCCAGGATGGAACCGCATAATCATCACCGTCGTTCCCGCGTTATGCGCAGAGACCCCCATCCGCACCATAATAATAATAATAAGAGGATCGACGTCGTTACCGATGTTGTCTATGTCACTGCGTCCGTTAGTGGGGGAAAGGTTGTTGGCTTCACCACCTTGGGTGAAGCTGTTCCAAAGACACCTAGTCCGACTCCCGTTGAGACCAAGGTTACAACTATCAAGCCCGCGTCGTCTGAGAGACCGCGGCCGACTGCAAGCGAGACGCCTAACACTACCGAGGCTGCAAAGACCACTCAATCGGTGGCGAGCTCGACCAGTGGTATGGATCCATGGCTTTCTTCCGTCTTTGTCTGTCGCGAGGGAAAATTGCTGATATCATTGTGTAGAATCCACCAAGGAGGCTAGCTCGAGTTCTACTTTTACGACGAGTACCTCCTCCGTAGCTTCCACTTCGCGGTCCACCTTGGCGTCAGCTTCGTCTTCTACTTCGGCTTCGATTTCCACTTCCATTTCGGCTTCGGCTTCGCCTTCTTTGTCCGCGTCCGAGACTTCCATTGTTCCGAGTGCGTCCGGGACTGGGGAGCCTGCGTCGGGGGGATTGTCGACTGGTGCAACCGTTGGGCTGTCAGCTGCTGGTGTTGGGGTTTTTTTGGTCCTCTGTTCCATTCTCGTATTCGTTTACCGCAGGAGATCGCAGAAGAAGATACAGGAGGCATATGGAAAACCTGAGGATGAGAAGGCGGGTGGCGCTGCTGCGGGTGCTGTTTATATGAACAGCGACAACAACATTTCGCGTGCCAATACCATCACTTCCGAGAAGGCGCCTAGAGTCCCATCTCTTCGGCCCGTCACTCAGTTCTTGCCCAATTTAACTGTTACTCCACCTGCTGCTGACCGCGCTTCCCGATTGCAGCCGCAGGCGCGAGTCCAGCAGCAGGTTCCCACGGCTGCTGCATCTCCTGTGGGTCTCGCGAGGTCTGAATCGCGTAGAGCTCCTCCTCCTGCCTTGGTCCTCGTTAAGGGCGGGGTTTCGTCTGCTCCCGTTTCTGGTGCTACCACTGCCAACAGTGCTGCTCCTCTTCTTGCTAAGGCTCAGGCTTCTCCCACAGCTTCCTCTCCCTCTTCGTCGGTTGAGTATACCGATGGCGGTGACTCTTCTGCCGGGACCCCTGTCACTGGCGGACCGGTTGGTGCTGCTAATGTTTCACCCGTGCATCGTGTTCAAATGGACTTTAAGCCTTCCATGGAAGACGAACTTGGGCTCCGTATTGGTGGGCTCGTTCGTATGCTGTACGAGTATGATGATGGATGGGTACGTTTGATATCCCTCGGTATGGTATCGCTTTTGTATTGATGGCTGACTCTTTGCAGGCTCTCTGTATCCGCCTCGACCGTTCGCAACAAGGTGTCTGTCCTCGTACCTGTCTATCCCAGAGACCTGTGAAGCCACGTCTCCAACCATCTCAGGGACCTCCCGGTGCTCGTCCGCCTCACCGCCCGGGCCATGCTCACGGCCGCCCTCAGAGCCCGATGGGAAATCGTGGCCCTCCCCGCCCTTATTCTCCTGCCAGTGGCCCTCGCGCTCAATCTCCGGGCCCTAATGGAAGTCAGCCTCCGGCCCAAATACGTCCTCAATCGCCTGCCCAGGCTCCTCCACAATCACCAGCGGGTTATGTCAAGCAAGTTTACCGTCCGGCCACCCCGACCCAGCAGGCTCAGCTTAGGATTATTCCAGCAGGCCCGTTTCAGCGCCCTCAATCTCCTGTCACTCAGTCCCCAATCGCCCAGTCCCCTGTTGCTCAATCTCCGTTGAGTCAAAACTCGCCTGTTGCTCTTAGAGCTGGGCCTCCTCAGATCACTGTTACTACCACGGCTCCTGTCGTCTCTGAGGCTGCACCGTCCACACCGGTTTCCCCTGTTCAAAGGCCCCAGAGTCCTTCTGGACCACAACCCCGTCCCGCCATAGCCCCAGTGCGCCCCTCTCCCTTGTCAAACGAGCAGACTAGCAATCGCGGGCCAGAGCATGCACAGCCAGTCTTCCACGCCATGTGAATTGGCTCTGGCCAGCTGGCATCCTTGGATAGGTAGAAGAAAAACTTGTTCCTAAAAGGTTCGAAAAAAAAAAACATGGTGTATCAGCCATATGACTGTTTCTTGGAAATGATCTATTAGGGGAGAACCAGTTGTGGGGAGGGAGAGGAAAGGTTTTACATGTCTTGATGTGTGTGCTTTTTGTCGTCCCTCCTCGTTGTCTCTGATTGGGGAACCCCGAGCAATTGGTGTTCGGTCGGTGGCACTCTCGCTTTTGTGGACTTTTTCTCTTTATTTTCTCTTGTCTTCTTCGCGTCTTGACGTGTGCGGACTACTTGTAGTCTGCTCTTTATGTGCAGCTGGTTAGCAGTAGCAGTGATTCGTGCCTGGGGTAGGAGTGGAGGGGGTAGGAATCAAATCAATACCCTGGAGTGGGAATGTACCATATATCATCTCCTATTTCTACTTCACCTTCATTTTTGCTTCCTTACTACTACTATTGCGAATGCCTTTCAATATACCAAACACCCAAAACGCTCATATAACAACCCCCTTCAATTCTTCGATTCTTGTACTTTTTTATTTTTATTTTTATTCTATTTATTTATTTCTTCTTTCACTTTACTCACTTCCACCACGGCTGGATGGATGGAATGTGTGTGCCGAACGGCGGAAATGTGGATGGTATGCGGAATGGGATTTTAAACTTTATTAATGGATGGGGTCTGGATTGGGAATTGATTCTATTGATTGGTATTTTTTTTTTCCTTTTCTCCTTTTTTCCCTGTGGTTTCATACTCTCTCTTTTTGCCCTCGAGTTTTGTATAGCCATGGTTGGTTGGCAGTGGGTAGGGTGGGAAAAGTCGGTTGGTTTGGTCACTGAAGGAATGTAAGGGATGGATTGATTGATTGATTTGATTGACTGATTGACTGATAGGGGGGCAGAGGGGGGGGGTAAAGCAAGGTGGGATGGGTGCGGATTGTAACTATCACAAGTGGGATGTATCAGATGTGAATAGTCTACCGGTAGCGCTGTTTAACGTGATATCTCTTCCACCATGTCTGTGTCTTAATAAGTTAACAGTTGTAATGGAAGTACATCTTCACAACACCTCACTCGCGATAACCTCTACGCAATGGCATGGAGCGACGGAAGTTTTAAATACCGGCACGATACAAAGGATGGTAGCCTACATCTCCGTTTCGTGTATAATAAATCACTGTACCAGATATCGGTATGATACATATATATGCACAACCTTATCACCTTTCCCACGCACTTGGCCCCACCACCGCACGCGGCCGGAAGAAACGCCTATTCATTCATACTACCCTCCCTCGATAGCCGACCCTCCCATCCGTCCCATCGGTAATTTACGATGCGGTGCGGTACAATGGTGTGGCCAAGTCATCGCCAATATAAATCCATCCATCATACAGTACGAGTACAATGGTGCCGTAAACAAGGCAAAAGCACCCGAGCAACGAGCAATAACCTAAATTACCCACGGCTTCCAAGAATCCATTGAAAATCCTTTGCATTATTAGCGTTAGAGGAAAGGGGGGGGGGGGAAGGAAAAAAGGAAAAAAAAGAAAAAAAGAAAAAGAGTATGATAACAAGCCTAATATAGGATATCGTGCTGTCTGTACTAAAGTGCTTGTACGAGTACCTGTACAGTGAGTAGGTTACTGCAACTGCAAGAACCAGCATTGGAGGTATGATATCATAGTGAAGTGAATTTAGTATTAGAGTAAAATAGCCATACCGCTCCCCTCTCTCAAAACCCTCCCACACCCGCGCGGATACAATTACAATTACAAAACTGCGTAAACGATTAGTGGTGGTGACTAGCGTGTGGAGGGCAACTTTGGCGTGTCTTGGAAACTTATTTTGTGGATAGGGTCATCGTTTGCTGGGTATCATTGACGGACGGACAGGCGGCTCATCTACTTTACTTGGATACTATGGGTAGCGTTCGTGAAAGGGCTTGTGAGTTCCTCGTGTTGGGTGTTTCGGATATCTAAGGTGTGTATAATATTGGAGGAGCGTTGGATAGGGGGCTAAGCGTGTGCTCGAAGAGGGCCCCAATCTGACGCTTTGGCAGCTTGTCATGTCGTGGGGCTAATCTGATAATTTATGAGCCCCGCCATCCCGCAGCGGACCCGCAATTCACTTATTACGCCTCGGGTCTTGTGGCACGATGTTTGAGACTACATACAAACAAGTACCGTTAAACTAAGAGAGGGAGACATGAGCTATCGATAGACCTGGTTATTCCTAAGTGGCCCTGTGTGAAGCTCTACCACGGAACCCACTAGACACATCATGGGTGCTTGTCGGATTTGGCCCCTCATTCGAACAAATCGGCAGCCAACGCCTATTTTCGGCGGATCAGCATATATATACTGTAGCACCATATGTGGGGGGCCGTACCTCGGCGGCAGAAAGCCTATCCCCACTCTCAAAAACTACCAATTCGGATAGAAGCTCGGTGATAGCCCTTGGCGCTCTCGGCAAGATGTCCTCCCATTTCTGGGCTGGAAAGTTGTTGAAGCATATCTTGCCAAAGTCGGAGAAGTTCGATGATTCCTACAACATGAGCTAAGGTTAGTAGGCGCTTCCTAAAGGGGTAGAGATACTGACGGGCCAGGTTTCCAGAGTAGGGGTCCCAAGTTTCCTGAAGATGGATCCGATAAGCTGCAACTCGCTGCCCAAGTCGCCAGCGTCGAATAGCGACTCGTGGCCATCCGTATAGCACTCTGCCACGACGCATCCGAATGCCCACATATCTAGTGATGTGTTATAAGCTGTGTGACCGAAGAGAATCTCAGGAGGTCGATAGCAGGTAGTCCCCACATCCGTAATCTTGCGCTCGGCGGGCTCGGATTCGGGATCATTGGGTGACCAGGCGATACCGAAATCCGCAAGGACAGCAGGGCCATCTGCGTCCATGAGGAGTATATTGGAAGGTTTGACATCGCGATGGATTATCCCCAATGAGTGGATATGCTCAAGAGCGCAAAGAACGTCTTGAAGGATACCGGTCATCTGTTCACCGGTAGATTTGGCATTCGACTTAAGGAGTGTGTCGAGGCTATGGTTATAGAAAGGAAACACCATGACAAACTGAGACGTCGACAACGTGAATTTCTCAAGGAGCTTGACGACGCATTTGTGCCCAGATCTTTGAAGAATTCTAGCCTCACGGTGGGAGTCGTGTGGCGGGGCCATTCTGGAAGGGGTAGTGACTTTCAGGGCGACGAATTGGGCGGGTGACACGAGAGTCATGGGCTTCAGTAGAGCCTTATAGACGTCCGAGAATATCCCCGAGTTGTGGTGTCTGCAGCCGGTGAAGCGGCCAATCGTGATTCCCCGATCCGTGGCGTGCGGGATGTCCTGGGAAGCAGCATCATTGGAAATGTCATCGGATCCGGGAACCGCAGGGGGTTTCCGAGCCTCCAGCCGCCTCTCCACACACTTTGCCTTGAGCTCTTGCAGCTTAGCCTCCCAAGTGCGGGTGTATTCCTCCTATAGTTTTCACGAGTGAGAATCTGTGCAGTTGGTTGCGGCCCAACGATCGTGGGTAATTGATAACACATCAAACAGATACCGACACGAAACAAGCTCGTTAAACGGGGATAGGGGCGGAATTACCTGTGAGAAAGACCCCTCGTGGGACTCGACTTCGATGGCTCGGGCTGAGGACAGAGCACTAGAGTGCTCGAGGTTCGGATCGGACAACTCCAGCAACGAGGCTCTACGATGGCCATGTGAGCCAAAAAACTCTCCCTCCTAGGAAAAATGATTTGGGGCGGAACCGCGCATGATTGTGAAGCGATGTTACTTTGGCTGGCTGGCTGGTTGGTGGGGTGAGGTGGGGGAAAAGGAGAACAAACATATGCTCGACGATGGCAACCCTCTCCCTAAAAGAGAGAGCGGTTTTCCATGCTTGCGGCGGTGACGGTGCCATGATGAGTAAGCGTAATAAATACTCGTATGAATCAATTTCTTGGCCCAAACTCCATGCACGGGGAGAGAATCCTTCTCCTGTCCTCTGGTCGGTGGTAGACGCGGGGGAAGCGGTTGTGATGGGGGGGTATGTTGATTCTGGCAGCTTTAGCAAGAGTGGGTAAAATACAATGGAGCAGAGGCAATGGTGAGGGAGGTGGCAAGAAGGGATATGTACGAGTACTCCTACTGTACCAATCGGGTCGTCCGGAGAATATTATCGGGCAATGCCTACTGATTCGCCCATGGGAGAAGAGATGAGAATAGGGAATTGGTTACCAGGACAACGCTTCGGAAGCCTGAGATGTCGGAGTCACGAAAGGGGGAGGAAGAAAATATGGGAAGGGAAATCCTCACACATCTCCCAGGATCCCCTATTCCTCCCGTGCGAAGCGAGAGCGTGGTTCATCATAATATCATTGTATCGAGGTTCTCATCTCCTCTTTTTCCTTTTCCTTTTCTTCCTTCTACCAGAACCTCCGCTAAGAGAGAGGGAAAACTATTCGCAGTGAGCAAGCGCAATTCAGCTCTCGGGCAACGTTTTTTGGTAGGCAGACTCAGGTTATCTCACGCGGATCTTGTTGCGCGGTAGCCATCTCGAGAGCAAAGAGATTGGGGGGAACGGGGGAGAGGAGGGGGGGAAAGGGAGGGAGAAGAATCTGACGATCCATCGTGCACCGTATCATACCCTCCGCCCATCTCCCCCCACCCGTCCAAATGGTCTCAGGAAAGGCGCGGGGCCAGGGATATCAACTTCTCAGTCCAGAGACTGGTCCCCTCAACGCCGTCATGGTCCGGTTCTAAGGGAATCGCCAAGCGTGGCCGCCAAGCTAACCCCGTCCGGAGGAAAAGAGCGATTGAAATTTGCAGGTCAACCGAGAGATAGCTGCCCCGCCGCCAGCTCGGTAGGATGGCTTTCAGATGGATAGCTGATGTGAAATTCGTGCGTCTTTTTTTCCCCTTTCTTTGCAGAGATTATGGCGTGCACAATACCGGCAATATGACCGATCCGAGGGCTTTGGACAAGCCCCTGAGCATCAAATGTCACTCGTACGACCTTGCCTATTTCCCTACGACATGATGGTGGACCGGGAGTTAGAGGTTTGCGAGTGGAAAACATGCTACAACCTCGTCCAGGTATTATTCCAGGTTAAAGTTACAGTATCGGCACGGCAATCAGAGTGTCCGCTGCCACGCCGCACGTTTGATATGTCACGACCTGACAAACATGATAATTTACCAGCATACCATACAAAGTATGATAAGTCAATCATCATCTAACTGATACCCTAGCAATGCAAATACAGCACCCAAGTCATCCCTTATGGCGTCAATAGCGGGCGGACCAGCAATTGATCGTTCGCAGTAGCGCAGGGCTCCGAATACCCAAACTTGACCTTCACGGGCTACAAAATTAGGGGTCGACAGCCGAGAGATTTACGAATGGACCTTGCATCGCCAGGGTAACCTCATCCACCCCGCACAATGCCTCGGCATTTATTGGCCATGACCGCGTGGGGCGACTCACTGTAACTCGAGAGAGAGCATGGATTGGGAACCGTGCAGAACAGTATTGATGGGAGTTGAATTTAGTTTGAATGAAGTTGGGTATGATGGCGTGCAGCGCGTGGGTGGCGGAGGAAGGTCTGACAACGGCAACGATGCGGCGACAATTGACGTGATCCCGGACGAAAAATAACTCTGGCCCGTTTGGCGCGCGCGCGCGAACCGATACGGGTACACGGTACGTGTATTTCTGGGGAGTTTCCTTGCATCGGGTGGGTACATGGTACATACAGCACGGAATTCCTCGAAATCCTTTTGAGAAGAGCAATTTTCCTGGTTACCCGTCTGTGAGCCAGTGACCGTACCGCGAGAGGAAAAACATCCATCAACGTAGAGCGAGAGTTGTCATCTCGTACCAGATTTTTGCCCTCTTTGAGCTCTCCAAGAAACTGATGGTGAGGAGAGCCCGTGCAAGAGGGCGACTGCGCTGGCAGTCCAGGGCTGTACCGGTACTAGTACTTGTACAGTAACTTACGCCACAATGCGGCTGCATGGATACGCTTCCGGCTGCAATGCTGCTTTCCTTTCAATTCAATTTCTCTCACTCCTCTCCATCCGAGGGGGGGAAAAAAAAATAGAGTAAATTTATTTCTCGAGACTCTCATCAATTCCAGCAGTCAGGAGCCATATAGCAATCACAAGAGACAACAGACCCTCTCAAGGGTGGCGATACACTGGCTGTCTGGTAAGGGGCGGAAAAATCATAAAGGGAGAGAGAGAAAGAGAGTGTTAACTCTACCGGTATTTAACTTACTATTTCTTCCCTCTCGCACTCTCTTAAAATCTTTCTTTGCCCTGCCTGCCCTCCCTCCCTCCCCTTCCTCCCATCTATTCTCCCGAGCACCGGTAGAACCCACGACAACGACAGCCCTGAAGTCCCTTTCCTCTGTCCACGCTTACACAGAAGCAGCAGCAGCAGCAGCGCACGCTTTGCCAGGCATCATCCAGTTAGTCGGCCATCTCCACGACCCAATAACATCCGTAACACTCCATCGCCTCCTTCTGGCCCAACCCATCCGTACCCCCCTGGGGAAAATCTATCACGGTTGGCGCCCCTCTTGTGAGCTGCTGCTTTGGAAACTTAGTACTGTCCATCGTTGGCCTACTTGAACATGGAGCTGTCTCGTTCAGAATATCCGGGTATCGTGGTTGGTACCCCCCCCCTTGGCGTCTCTGTTTTCTCACAGGGTACGGCGAAATTTTACATAACGCAGCTCCCCATTGCCCACCGGCAGCGCCACCCCGTCGTGTTTCACATTCACTTTACTGACCAGAGATTGTTTCTCTCGGAATAGGGCTCTGTTCAACCTACCCCGGCGGTCAAGATCCTGAGGGATCGCCTGCACCGAGTCCAGGTTCTAAACACAGAAATCGCGGATTGGCTTCAGGTACATTATTATCTTTCCACTTCGCCTTTAAAACCACTATACGGGCTTTCCCGGGTGTGGGGATTCCATGTTTACATTATTCCAATAGGAGCGACGGCGAATCGAGGAGTTGTACGTTCAAGGCTTGAATAAGCTAGCTAAAAGAACGCTATCGGGCGATGGGTCAGATTTGGGGTAAGACATCACCACCAATGGCATGCTAATTGACTTCAACTCCTCATGTTTCCTCACTTTTAGGGTATTTCAAGGTCCATGGACTCGAATCGTACAATCCACGCATACCGTCGCATCCTCACGCCAGGAGTTTGCCCAGAAGATCGAAGCCGAGGTCGAACGCCCGCTACGCGACTTTACGGTACGAAATCAGGAATGGGCTGCAATGAAAAATTTAGAGGTGAATATGGCCGCTGTAGCAAAAGCGGTCGATTCAGCAGAGGAGAAGGTCGAGAAACTGAAGAAACGGGGTCCAAAAGCAAAGGCGCATCAAGTTGCCGAGGCAGCTTCAACGGCCTCCAATGCACTGGCCGAATGGGACAGTCAGGCGCCGTTTGTGTTTGAGAAATTCCAGGCTGCGGACGAGAGTCGGGTCAATCAACTCCGGGATGTTTTGACAACTTGGCAAACGTTGGAGGTGGATCAATCACAGCGGATCATGCAGTCTGCGGAATCCACTCTGAACGTCATATTGGATATCAGTACGGAGGAGGAGATGAGGGGATTCGCGAATAAGGCTACTATTGGGAAGCAAAGGATTGAGAGGGAGAGAAGTCGAACGGCTGGTAGCGGCGCAGCAACGGGTATGCCGTCCTCAACTCCATCTATTGTTACGGATGACTCTGTCAGTGTACAGTCCTCCGGCTCCGGTGGAGGTTCAGGGGGAGGTTCGTACAGGGGTCCTCTCGTCTCAATCGGGTTTTGGTATAGCAACGTGCTAACGTTGTGAAGCTTCTGGGGGAGGCGGTCTGGGGCTTAAGCGGCTTGGGACCGTGTTTAGAGGGCGTAACCGGAATAGCTCGGTACCTCACTTTCATAGGTCGGCATCTCCCGATAAACGATCTTCAGAGAAGCTAGGGAGCAGTAAGCCCCACCCCCCTCTGCCCTCTTCCCCAACGCCCACAAACAATGGTCTTGGTCGGTCTGGAGGAGAGAAAAGCTCCTTGGCCGTACCGTCAGGAGGGTCGCCTCCTAGATCATTAACGGAACGGATCATACCACCTTCGCCAACGCAGAACGGAGATGCCCACCCTCCGCCTTCCCCTACGGTCCCGACTGCAGGCCCCTCACAGACACTTCCTACGCCGTCCGTGTTAGTAACATCAGAAGAGGTGGGTTTTGCATTGTGGTAATGTAATTATTCGCTGACAATTTGCAGCCACAGATGGATGCCGAAGGGTACACCATTCCCCCACCAGTGCATGATCTTGGTGGAGCGGCGTTACCGGGCGATGAAACCGCAGAGTAAGATTCATTCTGGGTTGAGTTCACGCCCCAGGCTAACGGAGAATTAGTGAGCCATCCCAACTTCAGTTCAAGGTCGAGATTAAAAACGACATTATTCAAGAGGAAGAAGGGGAAGCAGATGCCGCGCTTTCTAAAGTAGCGACAACCCTACGAGCGGTATGCGCTTCTGACGTGGTCATTAAGTATCTCTTGCTGACATTTTTCGTTAGCAAAACACTGTTTCTAGGAGGAACAGAGGGCGGCGGGATGCTCGCGATGTTAGGAACACCATGTTTATCCCGAACCCGACACCTGAGCCAGTAGAGGGGCTTCCCTCATCGCCACCCCTTACCCCAATAAAGTTCACACCCAAGAGTTCGGCTGTGGCGTCCGAGGCCGGATCTGATACTCAGTCAATCAGATCCTCGCGGTCCGTCACTAGCCTTGCTAGCTCGCCGATCAGACATCCGGAATTGGTGGAAACGGGTCTATCTGCTTCGTTAATCGAATCTGTCAGCATGTCGTTCGAGGCTGGGGCGCCGACAAAGACACTGATCACTGGGGAAATAGCCGTGGCTTACAATCCTACCGAGCTAGTATCCCCAGACCAGCCGCCCCCTGTAGAGCTCGTGCGCATGGACAACTTCTCCGTTCTAGAGAAAGTGGCGCCGAACCCTGCCTTCATCTCATCAGTCCCGGACCATGCAGGGGAGTACACAATGTCACTAGCAAACATCCACAAAACCTCCGTAGCCTTCAAATACCAAGTGCACATCGACGAGGCCAACGTCGCCGCCTTCGCGCCCATAATCGCAACACCCGTCTGGCGCCTAGAGCCGCACCAGTCCTCCGTCATCATCCACTGGAAACCAAACACGAGCTTCCGCCGTCTGAACGGCGCTACGGGGCCCTTCACTATGAAGAACGTTATATTCACCGCCGGGATTGAGGGTGCACCGGCGACCACCTGCCAGAGCAAGCCCGCCGGAACATTCTCCCGCGAGAGAGGCCGCCTGGCGTGGAAACTCGGGGACGTCCTCGTGGACCCGGCAGCCAGCGACGAAGGTGCCAAGAAGCTTGTTGCAAGGTTCTTGACGGAGGGCCAGGCAAGGGCTACACCCGTGGACATGCGGTGGGAGATTTGCGGCGATGATGCAAACACCGCTGGTAGCGGGCTGACTTTGTCATCCTTTGAGAAGCCCGAGAAGCCGGAGATCGCGGCGGTGGAGGCTGAAGAGGCGGACCCGTTCGCCGATGAGGGCGGGGAGGCTAAGAGCGTTGCGGGCGCGGATGAGGAGGGGATATGGAAGGCGGTGAATACGGCGAGGAAAGTAATGGGGGGAAAATACGTCGCCGTTTAAAGTAGTTTTTCTCTTCTTTTCTTAATCCTTTATGATTTTTGCGGTCATCGTCGTCATCATCATCATCATCACAGTTTTTCCCCTCTTTTTTTTCCCCTCAGGCAAAAGGTGTCACTTGTTTCCTTCCTTGCTCCTTTCCCTTCCCTTTTTATTTATTATTATTATTTTTTACCCATGTCTCTCACAAAGCACTATTACCCATTTTTACTCCTTACCTCTATTCACCTAACCCCTCCATTGAACACTTGGTATTTCGTGAACTCATCACTTTAGTCTGCTTGAAAACTGGGTGTTAGACTCTTTCTTCCTTTTATCCCCTCCCTCCTCCCTACACACTCTCTGAATAGTTTCTTTTACTGTTTGCGCTATGAAAACCACCGTCCCGCTTGCCTTTTTCTTTTTTAAACTTCATTGGTATTGCTACCCGTCATACTTATTTATTCACTTACCATTACTGCTCTATTCTTGTTTCGCACGGTGTCACTGGGCTGACGTTCTCTTTTCCTTTATTTTCTTTTTGCCGTCATGTATGGTAGATAGGGGGCGGAATTGAAGGGAGGAAGGATAGTAGGACACTTAGAGTATTTTATTGGGCGAGTGATTTGTATTGATCATGAGACGTCATTATGTGGGATTTGTGTCGTCCCGTACTAGGAGGGTCATTGATTTGAGCAGGGGAATAAGGATAAGGAATAGGGGGAAAGGGGTATGAAAAAACTATGTGCTAGAATGGTATCATATCTCGCGCTATCCCCGCGCCGCTGGGAAGAGAGGTTACCGTATCATGATACGGGGGGCAAAAAATCAAGGTGTGAGATAGAAGGAAAAAAAATCAAGGCAAAGCAGGGGCTCAGTCTTCCTTCCCAACTTTCGCCCCATCACCCTCGCCCTTAGTTTGCTCTCCAACTCCCGAAGGCTCGTTGTAATACTCCGGATACGTCCTCTTATACCCCAGTAATCGTTCGCCAATCACGACACCGCCAACAAACATCACGATCCAGGATACTCCCCTCTGGATTTTTCTGGGAACACCTTTAATCCTGTCCCCCCCATCTTCAATTAGTCTCCTCTTCCGGGCCAGTGTGGGGGAACAGGTAAGCAGGGGATACTCACGGAAACGCCAAGAAAATCTCCGCATCCCACAGGAACAACAACATCTGCCAAGGACTGGGCTCCCCCACATTCCCATCCCTCTTACAATCCATCCCATAGCTAAAGCTATTCCTCAAAAACTTCTCCTCAAACATACCAACATTTCCCCCCAACCTCGGCAACTCGATCAGGATCTGCAAGTCCTCGCTCTCGCTCGCATTGCGGAAGGTATGGTACTGCCCCGGCTGCACAGTCACACTCTCACCGGTCCTGACCTCGGACTTCTGCTCGTCGACTGTGACGAGCAGGCTGCCCGACTCCACGGTGAAGGTCTCGTATTGGCGAAGGTGGTAGTGGTACGGCGGTGTGCCGAAGGTGTTTGGCCCCGAGTATGGGGGTAGGAATTGGCGATTGGCAATGATGGAAGGTTTCGGCGAGTTGGGGAAGGAGGAAGTGTAGTGTCCAACGAGAGGGAGGGGGTCGAGGCTGGCGGTGTGCGTGCGTTTGGGCGGGTTTGCGAGGAAGGAGAGCATTTTTCTCAACTCTTTTTTGTTATTTTTATCTCCTGGCTGGCGTTTTGAAGGGTTAAGAGTGAAGATTGTATGGAAGTAAGGGCAGAAGCCTAGAGCAGGAATTGAAGGTGGGAGAAAGTGGGAGAGAGGGGGAAGGTGATAAGAGCAGTGATGACGGTGATGGCGGTGGTGGTGATGGTGGGAGGGGAACAAGGTTTCTTTAAGATAAAGAAACTAGTTACACTACCGGTAACCGACCGGCTCTGCAATAACGATTTTGGAAGCGAGAGGCGGATGTTATATAGGTAGTGATCATACCCGCGTTCGGGGGTCATGATGTACCGAGTGGCGAGTTTCCCAATTGCATTCGTTAAAATCCACCCTGCCGCTGCCATTCGGTAACACAATTACCGTACTCTGACAAATGATAATTCTGGGTGTGTTATCTTTGGCATAGGTTACCAGTATACCCCAAATGCCAAGGAAGTCTTCACACTCAACATGAAGTCGATCACAACCGCCAAGTCCAGGGACTGCCGGCACTGAATTGAGCGGGATCCGTGATCCCAATCGAGCCTTATGTCAGCGGTGTGATACCGGTACTGTATGTCCCACCATTTACCCTCTTTGGGTTGCCCGCCGCCCGGGGGGGGGGGTAAACTAACCCAAAATCCTCTCTTGCACAGTCGGACACCAGAGGTGTCAATCCCCATGCAAAGTCCGACTTCAACTCGGCCGTATGATGACCGGTATCCTAGAGTCCGGGCTACGGATGAGTTGGCCATGATATCAGCAACACCTCGAGAAGACGCACGAGTACTCGTACAGTACATGTACAGTATCACGCAGAACAAGTTACCGACATCGGTGCCAAAGAAGACCCACCAACCAACCCCAATCATCCATCACTTCAACGTTCCGATTCCCCCGCACCCAATAGTCCAAGTTGACCTTTCGCTTTTAAGTACCATAGCGCACTGTAGAAGTAGGAAATAAATAGCTTGTAATTCCACCCTCCCCCCGCCTCTTCCTCCTCCTCCTCCTCTCGAGTGGGTGGGTGCTCCGAGCTCGTGAGGGGTCGTGAAATGCGGAGCTTAACTTCATTAACTTATAGTACGGTACAGTTATGATACCGACATTTACAAATCATTGGTAACCACTTGGGAACAGGGTGCAAACCCCTGCGAAGCCACACCGCTTGTGGTGCATATTATGGTGCGCGACATCTAACCATTTGAGCAGCTGTCAACCCCCCTTCGAAAAAGGGATAGGAAAAAAGAAGGTGAGTGAGTGAGTGAGGGAGAGAGGGAGGGCGAGAGCGAGAGCATCCCGACAAGAAACGTTCCTGGTACAACTACCGGTATCATATTCCCACACATCAAGTTAAGCCTTACATCGACGGAGAATCGGTACGAGAATACCTCCGTCGTCCGATTTCTCGAGAAATATTCTGGTCCGGTCGAGCACAGTAGATGGGGGGAATATCGTAAGTTATCTTGGAGGTCAGCTAATATTGAGCTCTGTGTACTCGTATGATACGGATACCGGTACCTTAAGGTGGAGGTCGGTTCGGAATTTTCAAGTAGAGTGCTCGAACACTGTACTGGCATAGTGCTATCCTTAAGGCGCTGCTAAGCCCTATCTAGGATTAACTTCATACCTGATCTGGATTAGTGGACGATGCATTTTTGAATTTTCTTTTTTTCCTAGGAAAAGTGCCCCCCTCCACCGTGCATACTGTACTCGTACATTATAAACTCTACTCGAGTAGCTCGGTGCGAGTGAGCGAACGAGCGAACAAGTGGCAAGGCGGATTTTGTCGAATGGAGAGAACTCCGCTTTCCAAAAGTGTTTGGACAAACCCAATCCAATCGTTTTTGTATTTTGTGCAGCTTTTTTTTCTTTTCTTTTCTTTCCCCCCTCATGACTGCCGGTATCATGTCGGAGAGGGGAGAATGTGATGAATTGGTCGTGGTCAAGTCTACGTTGATGGATCGTCGATGGGGATTTGGGGACTTTGGCTGGAATGCTCAGCGAAGGGTGGCAAGCTCACGATGATTATGAATGAGGTTGTGATATATACCGGTACTGTACTTGTGGTCTATGTACGTATGTATCGTACTGGCAACCCTTCATCACGTCTCCTGCAGCACTAAACTGAAGCTTACCTGCGCGCCCGCCCATCCGCTTGCCTGTTTACCACTAGCAATGGGCTGATCCTCTTGCCTCCCGCGGTTTATGTGTGGAGGTATCATCATACTTCCTACGATATGTAATACCGGCAGTATCGGAAAATCTTGGTGCATATCGTTTCGCTCACTCGTTAGACACCCAGTGGTCTAGAATAGACTGGGTGAGGTACCGGTAACCCCCCCTAACAGGCTCTTAGGGTCGGGATAAAGTTGAGCGCGTGACCAATACTGAGCGAGTCCAAACCTGCCGTTTCTGGGAAAACCAGGTACGGTGGAACCTGTAGAGTACGTCGGACGGGGTACAATATTCCCTTGTCAGTTTTGATTCAGTACGGTAGGCAGTCGGGGATATCGAAATTATGATACTATGGCATGGCAGCCTAGCCGTCTTGAGTGATCTTTCACGATGAGGGTCCGAAAGCGGTGCCCTGGATGCTTCTTTGGTGCGCGTTAGGATCCTTTTTTTTGATCCTCCTGAGCAAACGACAGGTTCCGGCAGGGGCTGCGCACCACGACCCGGGGGATCGCTGCCGCCCAGCACCCCAGCGCGTCACAGTCATACTGATGTATATTCATGTTAGTAACTGCTATAGGTACTGTACAGCAGTCTCAGGTGTGTCTCTAGAAAAATAAGCAAGAAAGAATCTCTCTCTCTCTCTTTTACTAATTGGTCCCATCACTTTGCTCTTCACTTCCTCTCTCCTCCGTGCGACCTCCAACATAAATCCACCCGGGAATTCATCATGCAATCACACAACCCTCCCTTACCCTATATCCCTACCAAGCTAGTGTCTGATGTAGTGAGATATGGTGACCGGAATTGGTGGTGCGGATGGGGACGCTAATGAATAATTTGTGGGGTGCGAGACGGTGGGGAAGGACAGTGGTAGTGATTTTAAAGTTTATGTTTGGGAGGAGGGCTGAGAGATGGGTCTGCCCATAGTATGATAGTTGTTTTATTTTACGTATTTTGATAGCCGTGTCCTGGCGGATTCTCCAGGCTCTGTGGGGGATTTCCTACGAGTCGCGCGGGTGGTACTTTCCAGATATACTACCGGAAGGCGGGTTAAGTTGGTTTGCCTTGGGATTGCGATTCTGTGGGTACTCGCATGCCTGAGACTACGTGGCCGTTGTTCGTCTTCTCGTCTAAAGGGAAGGTGGTTAGCTTGACGACTACATTGGTCAGCAGGTTGGTCATATATTATCATTCGAGCACCTTGATGTCTTGCTATTTCTCAAGGGGATATATCAAATGTATTTAAGTGGGTTGCTGAAAGAACTCTGCTCAGTGTATGATATCCCAGAATGCATCGTCGCTCTCTTTGAATATATCCTGGACAGTACAGTAGTACGGTCTACTCGAACTTGGGTAAATATATATATCGGAAACAAGAAACGCGAATTCAGAAGTACTCGAGTACAGGGGCTGCGCTTCTCGCGGGGGCCTAAACCGGGGTTACCGGGGTTACTTGTCATCAGCGCTCGTGGCCCCTTAGTTCTATTATCAATGGATTCGTAATAGCGAGGAAATGGACGGAGGAGGGTACATAAGTAAAGCCTGGTCCCCCCCCCACATTTTCTCCACATCATCAGTCTGCCCCCCGATTCTCCAATAATCAACCTCCTTATTCTCTACCATCTACCTCCTGCGCAAAAAAAATGGTTTTTTCTAAAATTCTGGGTTTGTCAAAGTCAATTGCGGATGTTTCAGAATCAAGGTTGCTAGCACGGACATGCTGGGTCCAGGAACCCTCGCCAAAAACGCAGGGCCAATTGCCGGGTTTGCTGGGACTCTTGTTCCTTCCGCATTAAACATGATCGACCAAAGGCTCCTCTGGTGGTCCGATCGAAAAGAGCAACAAGAACTTCTGGCCCAAATCCTGGGCACCCAACACCATGCCTCCTCCGGTCAAGAGACCACCACCACCGCCACCACCACTACCATCACCGCGGCGAGAAGCCCCGTCAAACAGGAGGCGGGGTTGGTGGAGGTACGGGGGATGCTAGAGGTGGGGGGGAGTCCCGAAGAGGGGGGGTTGCCGGTGGAAAGGGTGGAGGCGTAGAGTGGGCGGGTTGCCCGTTAGAAGGGTGGGGGGATAGAGGCTTCTCGTTATTCTTTTTCTTGTTCTTTTTGGTCCACAAACCGGTTCCCCTGCATTATGATAATCGCAAAATTTCCGGGATGAACCACAGTTTACTTATGCTATCTCTGCCGCAGCCCTAGGAGAGAATACAAGAGGGTTATTTTCTTATATTTCCGATGGGACATAAATTGCGAATGCAAGTAGTTCATTAGTCTTGATATATTTCGGATATCTATTGTTGATCACAACGCTGCGGATATACTAAAAAGCTGTGGAATCCAGGAACAAACACTGGTATTGTCGCAGATCCAATCAGGGAATACTCCCATGTATCGGGTTCAACTTTCCCTATCAGGGGCAGTCCGGGTCCGTTGATATGAGTGGTTATCAAACAGCTGCCAAAGGATGCCAGGGCGATAGTCAAAATGTGGTCACCACAATCCATGGATAAGAAGCCTAGAACCGAGTTGCCCCGTACATCGTACATCGCGTAAGTTATCTGTTCGCCTTTCTCCAGCCACTCGAGTACCGTAAAAGCTCCTAGAATCCACTATTTCCTTCAGAACCCTATAATCTAATTGTTCAGAGACAAAACTCCCCCGAGAAGAATTAGCGTTTTCCTGATATAGTAAACAATTAACCCACTGGATGTGTTGGATCATGTTAGCTGGTATTCGCACTCAAGATATATCTGAACATAGTGTCTCCGACCTTTCCTTTGTTTTTCTAACCATACAATCTTTCAGAAATACTAAGGAGGAGTCAGAAATTCCGAGCATATCCGGCGTGCCAAACAGGGCCGCTATACAAGCTATATTAATTCTAGAAATCTCCAGATATCCTTAACTGCCCTCGGCAGTAGCACTGTGGCGCAATATTTGCTCCTGAGTACGATACTTGTAATTCTAGCATGCCAAACAAGGCCTAAAACTATCATGGGGTGACTGACTGCCGGGGATAGTGGTTCCCAACGGAAGTAGATACGCCACTATATGGCCACTAGCCGGAGGAGATTGTGTATATACATAAACACTACTGCGTCCCCGGTTGCCTTCCAACCACCCCAACCACAAAAAAAAAAAAATTCCTTCCACAGCCCACTGAATACACCATGCTCAAGCAAGCTTTTGGTTCGTTTGACAACTCCCGCAATTTGAATTGTCCCTTTTACTAATTACAAGTTATAATATTTTTCAGCCTCTGTTTACAAGCATAGGTGCCCCCGACATGATCATTGCTGTAGGTTTCACAAATCACGCCGCGGGAGTCATGTGCGAGAGATGGGCCCATCGCAATGATGTCGCAGCATCGAAGGAATGTCGTTACATCGAGGAAGCCGACACAGCATGCCGACTAAGGACCACGTCCTCCCCTGTACAGCGAACGTGATCCTTTTGCTGGGTGGAAGCGGGTAGCCTCTGCAAGTAAGGCTTATAGACTCCGGAAAATTCTGCGTTTTTTTTTTCTTTTTCGGCGCGGTCGGAATACGATACCAGTTAGTGCGGTAGAGGTAGTTGCGGTGGTTGCCATGGTTACAGTATCTGTATTTTTTATCTTTTTAATCGTTTTCGGGATGATGAGATTAGGGGGAGTGGGTGTTTGTGGTTGGGTCTGCCATGGGAAGGTCTCAGTATCATACAATACAGAGTCGTAACTTGAGAAAAGTTCATGAATATTGCACTGCACTGGGGTTGGGGTGGCAGCGTTGTTTCCAAAAATTCGGTAGACAGTTTTTCATCAAACACGAGGATTTGTCCCGTACCAATAAAAATCCCACTGTTCTGATAATGCTTGCATGGGGGAGTGGGAACAGGATATACTGCATGGGAATTGCCACCTTAGGTGTCCGGCTTCAACTGGGCCGCGCAAATATGGAATGGGGTACTCACAAGCCAATTTAACCCATGTTCGGGGGGGGAAATAGGCTTAAACTCTTGATGTTAGGCATGCAGCTCAAATTATGCTTACTGCTGCTCGATGAAAGAGGTGGCGAGTGACTTCCCATGATCCCTGTACTCGGAGACCTCCGGCATTGATTTTGTGTGATAGGCTGGTAGGGTAGAGAAAAAGAAGTGCTAGTATTGCATCGTTAGAAAGCCTCCAGGGATAGGAGATATTTGGCTTTCTTGGTAGCGGATATCATTGACTCATGGTGGCTCTCGGTCAGTCCTTCAATCGTTACACCAAAGTATTATGATAATATTATATGAATAATCCTAGCACCTTTTTATAAGGGCATTTTGTCCCCACGGTAGATTACAAAAAGGAAAAAGTTTCATCACCTATTGGCTAGAGTAATCGCGCTTGGCAATCTTGGTCCCTTGGTTGTTTGTAATATTAAACTGGACTCGTAATGGCAAGGGAGATGTATGGGGAGGGTACGTATTTAAAGCCTGGTCTTCTCCTGCACTTCTCGCAAACCTCCCCACCAAAAACCCACCTCCACCGATCTTCTGAGAGTGATGTCGAAAACTTTCGGAGTTTTGGTATCGAGGTTGCAAACTTGGACTTAGTGCTGGGTTCGGCAGGCTTGAGCAAGCCCGCAATCCCAATTGCGCAGCGTTAGGCACGAGCTGGTTCTAGGCGGGCCTGACCATAGGCTCGAGCCAGCTTGCCTCGTGGGGAGAATAGGCCTGAATAGCTTGAGGTCTCGAGCCCACTCTCGACCCCGACCAAGGTTTCACGGATTCGTTAAACTTTATGTTGAAAAGAGCCCCACTCTTATGGTCGCAGTGGTATACGTATGCGCTGGTGAGGACGCGCAAGCCTTGAAAGTTTTCTCTTGTTTCCTCTTGTCCGCTCTTAGCCGCAACCTTTCCTTCTTTCCTTCTTCCACTCTCACCTTCTTTCCTTTATCTTCTCTCTTCTCCCTTCTTATACACAACACATACAATAAAAATCATAGTCTCTATTACCGCTTGACACAACCCCTGCACATTCACTTGTGCCGTTCCGCTCCACTCGGCAAAACCCTCTTCACCGATCGTTACCTCCGCATCCATTATTTTCAACATCTCTGCTCCTGTTGTCATGAGTGACACCTCATGACTGCTTGCGTCACCCCATGTCTCTATTCTCCTTTTTCTATATCGCCTCTTTTCTCTCTCCTTTTCTTTCCTTCTCACTTAATCCTCTTCTCATTATTCTACAAGCAATCTAAGCTGCCCCCCCGCCTCGTAACCGTTCTCTTCCTCACTCCGGTGATACCCTCCAACATCTAGACAGTACATTACCTCTTGGTTCTCGCACAAAATGAATTTTTCGAAAACCTTAGGTTTGTCAAAGTCAAGTAGCAGTATATCCCTTGTTTCGCAGCTTATTTGTGAGTGTGACCCTCTACGCAAGAACGCCTCAGCAAAATGTTTTCCTTTATTTGGATATTATCCAGAGTGGAGGTTGAGCTATAGTAGGTCCTAGGAGCAAGTATACTATGACTATGTAGACCGGGTCCTATGACTATTGTGACTAGTAAGGCCACGAAGTATACTGTGCCTGTGTAGACCGAGTCCTGTGACTATCGTGACTGATGGGGCCACGTCAACGGGGTATGGCAATACCATATATTTTTGAACCTATTGATTCTTACTCTGTGAATCACTACAACACTCTACCGTCTGCCGTACCTACCGATTGCGAACAGAAAATTTCTTTGGCATTAAAGACGAACCTTATCACCATGACAGATGTTTGGAGTGACGACCAATCAACATCTCATCGATCGTCAATCTTCCAGGTATTGCATGGAATCTCTTCCGGAGATTCAGTGATCGCTTCGGGCATCAATTCTGCTTCGGTTGCTCACTCAGACGCTCCCAACCTAATGGGACTGAGTACCGCGTTCACCAATCTTTGTGCCCACCTTCCTCAAAGCAACAAACTTAAGTTTACATCGCCCTCCACTCTCGCCCGCCAAATGGCTACCAGGATTCGCCGTTGTCTAAGGTTTGAGAGAGGATGTTACGTACATGTTAGTGGAGTTGCAAAAGTAAAGATAGACGAGATTGATGATGCTTTCCAGGATCTTGGAATTCGCGGCTGTGTCCGATTCACATATGAACACGATCTGGAGGCGATGATTATCAGGTGTATGCCCAGCGAAGTACACGAGAGGGCAAGCTGGAGTTTTATGACCAAATTGGCGTTCAAGATAGCTGCTATTCCGGGCCATTCTGAGGATTCCATTCTGCCGGTTGGGAGTACAAGGTTCCCAGTTCCTGGGAAGCGGAGTAAGGAGGCTGATGGGGGGATCAAACCAGCGGATACCCGAGCAGATGGAGACGAATGGCCATCTCTTGTCATCGAAGTTGGTGTGTCGCAAACCCTGCTATCCCTCCGTCAGGACGCTTGTTGGTGGCTAGAGCATTCCAAGGAACGGACCCGAATCGTTATTTTAATCCAAATCAAAAAGAATCCAAAGTCATTGCGATTAGAAAGGTGGGAAAGGGTTGTCGATAAAGGCCGGCCATCAACCCGATCCAGGCAGAAGACCATACCAAAGTTTACTCAACATTTTGACATCGATTTTAATGGTTGTGTTAGTCACGCTGTGTCACAACCAGATCTCATCATTCCGTACAAATCTGTATTCGATACAGGCTACGATGTGGGAACCGATATCGTCCTGACTAAATCTGAGTTGTCAGCATGGTCTTTGAGAGTTTTTCGCGGACTTGGTTAGCTTAAGAACGCTCAGGAAGTCAGGGAGCAAGAGGAGTAGACCGGGGGGATTCGGGATGAATATATTGAGAATGATGATGTGGGTGGTGTGTTTGAGGAAATGCAGGTTGCTTTGCTCCGTTGTACACTTTGCTGCACAGTTGCTGCATAAAACAAGGGATGTTGGAAAGTCTATGTAAAAGGCATCAATAGGAGGTGGAGGGAGGATGAGCCTTTGTGTATGGAGAGACTAGGTACTTTTCTTCCATTTTTACGTCCCCTTGCTTCATTCCACAGCACTGTTCCGTATGTTTCCCTTTTAGACGATTGATACTCCCTTTTAGGTGGACATTGCCATGTACTCCATAGTTCATAGCTTGTGGGTAACATACCCTTCTCGATGTGAACTTGGTCATTAGGTCTATCATGCATGAGTCGCAATTAGTCACTCGGTGTAGATTGGCCAATGAAGGAGCTCACTCAACATTTCGTCACCCAACATTCAAACTTCCAAACATCAGTGCATCACTAAACCTGTCCATAATTGCAATCCTAGCAAACGAAAATATCAAAATCAACCAGCGGGCACTGCTCAACAAGCGCCTACGGCCACTTGAGAACAACTGCGATCCTAGTCGCCGCGCAAATCCTGTGGATCTCCAAACTCCTCAGGACGATCCCCTATGATACGCACCTGCAGAGAACCTGCAGCAACTGCCTCCACCACACCCCAGACAAACCCTCGATTCCAAAAACTTACAACCCCCCTCTTCCTACTGGCAAAAAGGGACAAGGGGTTTAATTGAGAGGGAGGGAAAGTAGGAATGTTAAACAGAAGACTAGAGGCGTGTGCACAAGTACAAATGCAAAACCATTGCTAAGCTGGCTAGGGAGTTACCGGGCGCTGTGCGCGTCGCAATGAGGGTGCTCATGCACAATACCCAAGAGGAGGTGCTTGAGCAGTCACAGCAGTGTGAGGATCACGTTGGAAGATGCCACACAGAGGCCAGGGAGAAGGGACGGGAGGGGGTATTTGTGATGAGAAGGGGGCACATGGTTATTTGGAAACAGGGAAGGGGGAGGAATAGGTTGAGGTTGTATTGTGCTGTTTGCAGATTCTTTCCTGTTTCTTGCTTGCAAGTTAGGGAGATAGTACTGACGGTAGAGGGTGTAGTATAGGTACCAGTAAACCCCACGGACCTTGTCACTGAGACCTTCGAACCCGTTGGTATCACATTTCACCCTGTAGCTGCGAGCATGAGCCACGATTGCACCCCCAATGCCATCGTGCTCTTCGACCACCGGGTCCCCTGAGTCTATGCGCTAGAAGACATACCTGCGAACGCTGAAGTCCTGATATCATACATTGACAATACAATGCCTTGCGAACGCCGCCAGCTGGAACTGTCAGAGAAGTACTTCTTCGCCTGCGCCTACTCGCCCTGCGGTCGCACGGCCAGCCACGGACCGGTTCCTCCGTGCCTGGTGGGGGGTCGGAATACCATCGCGCGGAGCGGTACTTTGCAATAAATGTTGCACGAGCATTCCTGGTGACCGCAGATGTAGATGTGCTCGAGCAGACAGCTTGGTCCATACCCGACTCAGATAAGAGTAAAGCAATGATCTCCAGCTTGAGGCACCCGCACAAGTGGCCTATTTGGCCGTTACCCCGGCAGCCCTTGGCCGCTCTACGCCTAGCGCTTGTGCAGAGCGAATACATCCCGCCCAGAAATTTGGAACGGGCTCTACTACGCCACTTACTGGTCCACTGACGCCTAGACCCAGTATCCTACCAGCAGAGGTTCTACCCTATACGAGTCGTGGACGGGTTCAAGCTTGCAAACTTGCTCTCGCAGATTCTGGGAGTAGATTACAGGAAGGTTGATTGGAGGCTTCTTAGGGAGTGTGCTGCGCAGGTGGGGTGGAGTCATGGTGGCGGTGTTGTGTTTGCTGGCGTGGTTTCTAGGAGGAGGGAGAAGGTGAGAAGGGATTTGGAGAAGGAGCATTAGAGGGGATTGATAGGGGTGAGGTTGGAGGATATTGTCCTTGAGGCGGAAGTGGAGAAGATTGTTAGTATGGTGGAGGATTTGACTAAGGAGCTTCAGAGGTAGTAATGTTAACTGCGTTGGTAGGTGAGCTTTTTTTGTGGACAGTGGATATTCATGGTACAGGTCAAATGCAAAGTTAGCGACTTAAAAGGAGATGATTTTTTTTAAAACATCTATCTATCTATCCACCAGCACTCATCTAAGTCTTCACCCTCCTAGAAACCCTCTCCTTCCTCCTCTCGAGGCTCTCCCCTATAACCCTGGAACTGTCCCCCCCCCCCCCCCTCGATTCTCCCCATCACCGCTCCTGTTCCAACTCCTCTCCAACAACTTCGCGCTCTTACCCACTCTATCAACCCTCTTCATCAACCTCTCTGTATTCCCCGTGGGGCTCGACCGGTCCTCACGGCCCCTACCGCTCGTCTCTCTCCCACCCCGGCACTTCCTCTCCCTCGCCTTCTTCTTGCCCACATCCAGCAGCCTAACAAAGTTATTGCCCACGTACTCCTGCCTCTTCCGCTCCTCGCACCGATCACGCGCGGACTTGACAACACGGTGGGAGTCGATGATAGTAGAGCCGACGGATGGCTCCGCTATTGGCGCAGTGGACAACTCCCCCGTGACAAATTCATCCAGCATCTGGGACTTGCGGCGGAGAGGCTTACCTTTCTCCGCAGCGTTGTTGAGTTCGGGCATCGCGTTCGCGGAGATGCAGGGTGGGCAGGGTGTGCCGTCCGGGGTGTTCCTAGTGGATGAGGGGGATAGTGCCCGGAGCAGAAGGTTTTACAAGAGCGCATGACCTTATCAATCTGGTACTTCAATTTCCCCTCCAGCGGTTTCACACCCCGCTCTAACATAACGCGGATCTTGGCCAGTTCCTTGATTGCCTCTGCACTGACAATGTTGCTCAATGTGCCCGAGAGCGGCCGGAGGAGCAAGAGGATGACAACAATGTGGATGTATGAGAGAAGGAGCTCGTTCTCCAGGTCCAAGAGGGATATGCCGTTCTCTGGGGGGCAGGAGTGTCCGGAATTCGGGGGATTGGAGGGATGTGCTGGTCGTGGTGAGGGAGGTGGTGAGTGTTGTTACGGTTTCGAGAAGGTCAGGTGGTGGGGGCATGTTTGGTGTATGTGTGCGTTGCTACGTGGTTGGTTTCAGGTCTTTTTTTGGGGCAAATTGTTGTATTATAGAGGTATAAGAGAAGCACCGCCTGCACTCCTGATATTAGCAGTTAGTAAACACATGCACCCGTAAGTTTTGAGTCTTATTTCTCTGTGAACTTGCCATTTGGTGGATGCTAATGAAGCCCACGAAAAACCTTCAATGCCCATGTAGATAATTCTGCCTTAGATATGGTAATATCGGTTCCCACATCGTAACCCGTATCAAATAATGATTTGTAGGGAATGACAAGATCTGGGTATGTTGGATCATGACTAACATTGCCACAATGATCAATGTCGAAATATCGAATAAACCCGGATGTTGTCTTCGCTGGGGACCCTCTAGAGTTGTCCACTTTGACTGATAACCTTTCCCACCTTTCTAAACGAATTGATTTTGGATCCATCTCAATACAGATCACAATGACCATTCGGGTCCGTTCGTTCGAATGGTCTAACCACCAACAAGCATCCTGATGGAGGGCTAGCAGAGTTTGTGACATACCCACTTCGATTATAAGGGATGGCCATTCATCTCCATCTGCTCGGGTATCCGCTGGTTTGATCCCCCCATCGGCCTCCTTACTCCGCTTCCCGGGAACTGAGAACCTTGTACTCCCAACCGGCAGAATGGAATCCTCGGAATGGCCAGGGATAGCAGCTATCTTAAAGGCTAGTTTAATCATAAAACTCCAACTTGCCCTCTCGTGTGCTTCACTGGGCATACACCTGATAATCATTGCCTTTAGATCATGTTCATATGTGAATCGGACACAGCTGCGAATTCCAAGATCCTGGAAAGCATCATCAATCTCGTCTATCTTTGCTTCTGCAACTCCGCTAACATGTATGTAGCATCCAGTCCTTGATTTTACACAGTGGCGAACCCTGGTAGCCATACGACTGACAAGACTAGCAGGCGTGCCAAATATGAATCTGTTATCCTCGGGAATATGGGCGGAGAGATTCATGAAAGCAGTACTTGGACCATCCAAGGGGAGGGCGTCAAAAACTGCAATCTCGGGTGAGTTGACAGGTGAAGCCACAGGTGAGGCGGCTTGGGAGCCCCTTTGACTTGTCATTTCTGCAGGACTAGTTGGAGAGGTCGACGTCGTTTTTGGGGACTCGGATGCTGCTCGGCTTGAAGATTGACAAGAAGAAATCGGTGTTAATGGTTGATTATTGGCTATGGTACCGCAAACCCCAGCCATTGTAACAGGTTTATCCCCAAAATCTAAGATGGTTCTAGTTGTAGAAATGTGAAGTCGTGGGGCTGTAGAGTGGAGTTGTGCTTGAGGGAGGATAAAAATTGATTGGATGGAGAAATATGATATTAGGAGGAAAAAGGATAACGGGCGGATCTGGAATAAAGTTTGAAAATTTATAGTCAGTGGAAAGGAAGGAAGAAAAGGAGGTAAGGAATGGAGGCAAAGTCAGATGTTAGGCATAGTCGAAATTTTGGGTGAGCAAGCCGATTGACCTTCCGCTGCACAAGGTGAACTGACCGCTGGCGTAAAAACGCAGGAAGAATAATAGAGAAATGTGGGGTTTGCTGGAATGAGGACAGCGGCTATAAACAGTGGTCCTTCTGATTGACCAGACAGAGGGCAGTTATGGAGGTTCGTGGGCGGCTCCGAGGACCCAAGATAGTGGACCGAGGAGAGGTGGGAGCGTAGGAGAACGTTGGAGAAATGGATCCCGGCAACTTGGTGGTTTGTGAGTTAAAAGGCCACAGAGGAGCTCGAGTTCCACGAACAGTGAAATGAACAGAGAACCTGCACTGGAATTGCTCTACCGAACTTGACGAAGGTGGCTCGAGATTCCGGGGGGAGAGCAAGGCTAAGAGCGGTTGCTGTGAGGATGATTTTGTAGTGGTTGAGAAAAGGGATGATGTGTTCAAAGATGGTAAGTGATGCCTTTGTGCAGGGTCATGAAACAGGTTTGACCATCGAAAGTGGCCAGATAGTCAATACGAAGGAGAACCTATGGAGAGATTTGGGTGCAAGGTTAGATCTTCTTGAGATGAAGAGGTCAAAAGCAGAGTGAGGAACACAACTTGCAGATAGGCAAACTACAGTGGGTGAAGTAAGGAGTCTGCGTTTGGATGTGAGGGTGGTAGCGGTGATGGTGGTGCAAGTTACGGGTATCCGAAGGAGTTGTTTTGGAAAGTGAGATAGGGCTGAAGAAGAGGGATGGTTCGGGTGGTGTGTGGCGGGGACCAACGGAAAGAGTGGGGAGAAAGGAAAAAATTAATTAATGAAATGACGTGAAACGAACTTTACTGTAGAGTAGAATGTTGTGTGAAAGAAGCTTTTCAAGCTAAAGGTGACTGGCTATTATTCTAGGGCATTATCACACTGATGTGGGCGTACGCTCGTCGCGAGCTCATTGTCTTAACTTTATACAATACAACAGGCTCGACGAAGAAAATAACCGTGATGGGAACTTGGACGTGATCCAGAAAATAAGCACGAATGAGGTATATACGTGGCCTATAAAGGCAACTCTGTGAGTCCTAAAACCTCCCACGAAGACCATTCCTCCTTTTCATCCAATCATGATAGTGTCAAACAATAGAGAATTCGCCGACAGGAAACATTTTTTTCGCCGACCACGGAACATTCACCAATGTCCTAGACTCAACGGTTCATGCCGCACAACGCTAGATACCGTATTTCCAACACCCCACCCTCCTCCACCAATAACCTTTGGCAAACACATCTCCCCCCTGAAAACTTTACCGAAATGACTCAGCGAACCCTCGTGCTCATATCTGGCAACGGCTCTACTCAAGTACCGTACCGGTAATCTCCAGGCCTTGATCGATGCCTCCAGAGCAGATCTCCCCGCCCTCGATGCCTCGATAATCTACGTCATTTCGAACAAAAAAGCAGCCTACGGTCTGAAGCGGGCAGCTGACACCGGCATCTTATCAACATATCACAACCTTCTTGCTTACAAAAATAAAAATCACAACAATCCTCAAGAAGCCCGAGAGGCTTACGATGCCGACCTTGCCAAGCTGATCCTGTCCCAGACCCCCGATCTGGTGGTCTGTGCTGGTTGGATGCACATTCTTTCCCCCACAGCCCTCGAACCCCTGGAAGAGGCTGGCGTCGACATCATAAACCTCCATCCTGCTCTACCGGGACAATTCGATGGCGCAAACGCAATCGAACGAGCCTACGAAGCGTTTCAGAGGGGGGAAATCACAAAGACTGGTATCATGATTCACTATGTTATCGCTGACGTGGATAAGGGAACACCGATCGTCGTGAGGGAGGGAGATTGAGATAATTAAAGGGGAGAGTCTGGAGGATCTAGAGAGCAGGATACATGCTGTTGAGCATGTTGAGATTGTGAACGGTACAAGGGTGGCGTTGGAGGAGCGGGAGAAAAATAGACAGACGAGCGAATGATAAACCCGGGGTTTGTCCTGCTTTTTTCTTTCTGCCAATATATCTCGTCCCTTTCCTTAGCATGAGATACATGAACCGTGGTATTTTTTTCCCGGTCACACCACGCAATACTCGAATTGGCTTGCCTACAAAGTCCCCAGAAGCTAGTGATCAGGTATTGTGGGTGAATTTGTTCAGATCCATGTTGTGTGGTCCCACACTACACGAGACCGGTCACCGATCCTGGCCTCTACCGTGGGCTACTATCCACCCAACAAACACCGACAGATACTCCTGCCAAACCAAATCATCCAGCATAGTATCCCCATCACTACAAGGCCAATCAGACAGCCCCGATCATACAAGTATCTTCACGACCGCAAGTAACTACTTGACGGCACCTGGCAGCACGAGTGACATAACATGACGATAGCTCAAAATAGGATCCTCTGTGCCCACCGGCCGACCCTCTCCCCCAAGCCTAACTTCTGCCAACCCGAAAACACACCCTACACCGATCTGCCACTTACGCAACCTCTGCCCAGTACAGTCCTGTTCATATAGAAGGAGAGCACTATGAAACCTGGCATTAATCCTCCGGAAGCGCTACTTGTCTACGGAGTTCCGCCGTGTATTGCAAGTCCTGCGGGAGAAGTAGTTGCCTCAAAGAAAGCGCCGGGGGGCGTTTTTGACTAGTGTTAGACCTGTGGCGTATATATCGGCCCATCGAGATGGTCGTCAGAGGGTGTGGAGATTCTGACCCTCGAGCACTGTACCCTATAGAGGATGGAGGACGTATGGAGGGTTAAGGCTTTTGTTGGTGAGCCATCTTTTCATCCTTTGAGGGGAGCGACAGCTAACTGCTTTGTTTCGTCGGGGGGCTCAATCACTTGCTCGGGTGCGGCATGCGCTTGGATTTCGAGTTCTGGTATTGTATTATACCCCCCGACGGGTGTTGGGTAGCTTGGAAGCGGAGGTGGGTGTTAAAGTTAGAATTTAACTGCTACAGTGATAGCAATTATCCCCGTCGTTTATAAAAGGCTTTGGATGGGGAATCCTTTTCTCCACGTACAGGATTTTGGTTGTCAGGAATTTGTACCGTCTCCAGTGGTAAATTTGGACATCTGAGGATACCCAGGGAGCTCAGGTACCTCTCCTATACCCGTAACTACGGCTATTCTGTCATCCGCGGGCTTTCTGCCCAAGAGCTTCCTCAGCGCTGATCGACTTAATTTATCCAGGACGGCTCTTCTTCATCAAACCACTCCACTAGTGCAAATGTGACCGCTAGTCGGCGGGCACTGGGTTTGCCGGTTGCTCGTGCGACATTCAGCACCTTCAGATATACCCCCTCCACATCACCGCCGTCGAGTCGCTTTGCGTGGGCGCATGACATGCAGGCATCTGCGACTGTCCAGATAAAACTACTCGAGGGAAGTAGTTTCCAGTGGACATCGCCTGACATCCCTTTCTTTGCCACAAGCAGTTGAATCCCATATCCCACTATTCGATGCCGGTCTATCAACTCTCCTTTGGCGGTATACCCGGGCTTGAATCCTGGTCCGTCGTGCCCCTCGTGCACCTTCTGTTGGCCTTGGTCCTTCTGTTCCTTCTGTTCCTTCTGTCCGTCTTGCTCCTTCCGCTCCACCGCGGCCTTGGGTGCAGACCAGCCAAAGACTGGATTGCCACTCACGTATGGTTGAAAGTTCCAGTTATCGGGGTAGCCATGTCGCTTGTTTTTTTTCATCGAACAATTGGATCGCTGGGTTTATTATCATTGGTAGTTTCTCTTGCTTTATCAGTTTCACACTACTGAATTGGGTCCTAAACCAATCTATTTCGATGGTAAATTTATCCGCTTCATCCTCGCTCAGGCCACTCAACCCGTTCAGAAAGATAATACTCTCATTCACCGATTCCAATTCCTTATAAGTGCCTGGGTCGTCAGGGCTCTCAGGCTCCCGGAGAGCTTTAAGCAAATCCGTGGCCTTCTTGTATACTGCTTTCTGGGGCGCCCCAGGTTCGGGTATCTTGTCTTCCGGCGGGAGAGCATCACCCATCCTAGTGTCTTCTTTGGGAACATTTTTGGGACCAAAAGCATTTTCTGCGAAGTGCTCATCCAGGAATCCCAGGGTCTTAGCCGCCTCCTGTATTCCTAAGTGCAAACAAAAGGTTAGCTTGGGAGCACTCATCTTGGGACCGTAATTTTACTAACTTGTAAATGCCTTTGTGCCCCGGTCCTTCCAGTTCTGGTCTACCTTGTCTGGGTGAACGGCTAGTGCTAGCTTTTTATAGGGTTTCCGAATTTCCTGTTTTGAAGTGGTTTCTGTGGTGCGGAGGATTTGGTAGGGCTTCGGAGTGTCGCAATTTAGGACCCTATCGATTTCCTCATACCTTTTATGGTTCCGGAAGACTAGACTCTACCCCAATTTTCAGTCAAAAAGTGTGACGGCTTGGCTGCAACGCCGAGTGTAACGCCTGAAAATCATAGTACCCTAAAACATAGTTACTTCAACCCTAATTTATGAATTCACTAAATAATATGATATATATTATAGTAGAAAATAAGAAGTATAGAAGAAGAAATAAGAGGTAGTTATTGTTCAATTATATTAATCTACATTAACTTGGGACTCTCCAATCTGTCTATGTGATGAGTATCTTGTATAAACATGCCTTTTAAACTCCTCAGAGTCATATACAATATGATTTCTATAAGCATCCATCATCCTTAAGGTTCGCTGGTAGTATTTCCAAATGAGTTGATTGGGGATTTGGGCTAGTGCCTCAGGTACAGTACGAACCAAGGCAGGATATGAATATTCACAGTGTGCTCTGGTATATACCTTTGCACGGCCCCAAAAGTACTCAATAAAATTGAGCTCGCAATGGAATGCTGGATAAAAGATTACCTGATGTCCAGCCGCCTCCAACGTCTCCTGCAGCTGACACTTTTGTCCTTGAAAGTCTGCCTGTGATGATAGCAGTGCTCTGGCACAACAGTGAGCATTGGTTGCATGCTTGCAAGCTGGGTTTGGTTTCCGTTCCCCTGGTTTCTTTCCGGGAATTGAACATTGAGTAAGAAGTTTTTGGCCTTCTGGCCAGAGACCCTGTTCTTGAAGGACAATTCGTAAGCCTTTCAGGCGACCATCTGGAAGCATCATTGACTGCTGCTGAACTATATCTGGATTCTCAAGACTTGTATAATATCCATTTCTCATTGCAACTGAATTCTTTCCTCCTGGTCCAAGGTTCATATTACCTACCAGGAGGGCATCTGCTGCATACTTCTGATGGATTTTGGCATTATCAAAAGCCCAAGTCCCTGGCATCCAGGAAAGGCAGTCTCAAATGCTGGAATTGCCTTCTCCTGTAACTGCTGTAACAATAGATCACCTGTCCACCATATCTTACCACCACACTTCAAAATCTCGGATACTGTTCCACCACCAAGTCGACCTACTGGTGTAAGAAAGTCTGATATGTGTAAACCTTGACCACGACCTTTTTTTCTAATTGGTGCATTGTCCTTGTGGATCCAGATTTTTCTGCGTCCATCATTCGAATTAAATGTGCATTCATCATGGGTAATAAAAACAATTGGTCGAATACCCGGTACTTGGGGCTTAGGAATAACTTCAAGATTTTGATCCTATTCTATCATCAGAGGCTGAAGGGACTGCATTCGTGGCAGGAAAATCTTCTCGCGGTACTCTTTAATATCTTGCCGCTCATAGCCATCTCTGTAAACTCCCTTTTTTACCTCTTTCCAGTTCCATCCAAGTTTTAACAACCAAGCCCGTGCGGAGCGACTACTCAACGCCCTTTTTATCCTCCGATGAATCCCTGCAATGGAAATCATTGGTAATTCATTACCTGGAGCATTACTTTCATTAGAAGCTGCAAAGGTTTGACTCCAATAACTTGTAATTGCTTTAGTAAGGCCCACTGAATCCATAGCTATTTCCAAAAATAATTAGTGTTTATAATCAAGTCAAGTATCTTGGATGTAAACTCTTACCTTCTCCTGCCAGGGACATATATTCCCTCATTGCAAGTACAGTTCCCTCATCTGTAAGCCAGCTAGCTATTTTGGCATGCTTGCCCTGCCTGGGAGCAGGAAGTTTTCCAGTATGAATATACTCAACCTCCTGCTTCAAAATACGCTTCATCACCCAAGTACCCCACCCTCCAGAAGTTGCAACTAATAGAACCAGAGCCTTACGAGACTTTAATGGTGTGATCTTCTCATTTGGCTCTCTTTTCATTTCCGCCAACTTCCATTGCCTCTCCTCCTTCAACTGCAACTTTAAAAATGTATAGAGCTGCATATTCCAGTTTAGCTGTAAATCCAGACCATGGATTACTTTGTTTCCCCTTTGGGATCTAATACCCTGCTTAAGCCTCTTCAAAGCAGATTCTAGAATCTCTTCTTTGAATATCCTCAGAGGGCCAGCCAACCGGGGCCAACTTCGATAGGCTTGTCCCCATAGTTCATAATTCTATATATCTCAATTTAGTTATTATCCTTAAAGATGACTTATATGAAAGTAAGATCTTACCTCAGGATTAGCTCTTTGGACCTGCAGACTTTGCAGCTTCAATTGTTGCTTCTTTGCATATAGTCGATGGTTATGCTCACTTTTTGATGATGGTCTAGGTTTTACATATCCTGTGCGCAGTCTAAGACGTAGGCGATATTGACGTGTTCTCTCGATCGATGTATTCTGAGCTATTGATTTTGTAGCAATAGCTTTAGATTGACTGCCAGCTTGACGAATAGCCTTAATCTGAAGCTGCTTTTTCTTGAGCCGACTTTTACGAGACCGTTCGGTATTTGACATAGGTGGAGTTCGTTCAACTGCTGTAGTCTTCTTAGCAGTACGGTGTTTTTGCACGCGAGTTCTTGTTGCAGCACGCGTTTGTTCCATTCGAGCACTGGCTTCTGCAAGCTCAGTTGCTATTTTCATCTTGATCCTAATAATAATTGGTCAAGTACTCCTAAGTTGCATACTAAA